AATAGGAAAATGGGAATGAAAGGGGGAAACACAGGACCAAGGGAAAACAGAAGATGAGGGATGAGGAGACATATATGGTGAGGGAAACAGAGGAGGGGTGATTGGAAACAAGTGCATACGGATGAAGGGGTAGATGGAATTAATGAGCAGGAAGGGGCGAGGGGAGAGGGAGGGATATAATTGAACAGGGAGATGAAGTCGAACAGAGACAGATGAGGTAGAACAGAGTGAGATGAGGTAGACAGAATGTGTGAGGGGAAATAGATTCATAATGTTATCTCAAGTGAATCTCATAGACAAAACCAGGTCCTGGGAGGTGGGTGACAATTGCTCATTGTCACTTCTCTGTTACAAGTTTCTCCTCTTTAGACACTCCTCCATTCTTTATTTTTACCAGTTCTTTGTTAGTGGTACTGGTTTGTAGTTTCTTGATTATTGGAAATGCATTTGCCATTTCCAGAATCCCGAGAGGTCTCCTTTTATTGGCTGTTCTAGTTAGCAGAGAACATAGTTCCCCTTCACCTTCCTTCAGCAGCCATAGTCATATATTTAAAATTATTTGTATATTTATTTGCAGATCAGCAAGTCACAATAACATGCCTGAAAAATCCACACCCAACCTACAAATCTGAAAGTAAAGGAAATAATGACATTTTACACGACTTGATAATGGTCCATTATATGGACCAAAACATCATCACTTTCATTGTTTTCAGATTTGTGGGTTTGGTGTCTATAGTTTTATTTATTTAATAATAATAATAATAATAACAATAATAATTTAATTGTGACAGGGGACATGCAGCCAGTTTATACATAGTGTACATGTTAGGCTTATAGTGAGGTCACTATAGGGTCGAATCACTGACCCTGCACAGGATGCAGCCCCACAACAAGCTGACTAACTCCTGAGTACCTATTCACTACTAGGTGGACAGGGGCATTAGGTTATAGGAATCATGCCCAATGATTTCTGTCCTCGCCTGGGATTCGAACTTGAGTCAATCGTGATTGTAATCGTGAGTCGAGAATGAGCCCAGTTGTACTACCCGGACTTTGTACTGTAATGCAAAGCATAATGTAATTTATTTAATATAATATAATGTATATGTACTGTAATTTATACAAATAAATACAGTACTATGGGTATAAATTTTGGTGATTAAATGCTACATTCTTGTAATGCCAATAACATGTAGTGTTTTGGACAAGTCTTAACGCTAACACAAAATTTTAAAGGAATTTTAAGTTACAAAGTTTAAACTTTGTTTCATTTAGTTCATTTCTAGATTTCTTTTTACCTATTCTTTAGTGAGTGCTGTACTGTCTGGCTGTTGGTTCTAGCCATATGCCTTCTATATAGCTTGTAGCGAGTAAACCTTATACTCGCCCCAATCTCTCATTACCTTAATGACAAACTAATTAGCACTAATTATGACTACTCAAATCCTTTCCGTAATTACAGGTAACACTCTTTCCATCCTGTTGGAGGAAGCTGAGGTGTAGTCACCAAATATAAGCAAGCATTATGCGAATAGCCAACAATATAATTTCCACAGTGATTCAGATAACTCCAGTACAGACACTTTGGATTTACCTCACCTCTTCAGCCTCAAGAATGTAGCACTTCGCGTGTACAGTTCTAATCGACCTCAAGACACTACAAGCTTTGACACAGAGCAGACAGCAGACTAAGACTGCATCAAGCTACAATGCTCTCACTCCCCATCGAGTTCAAACTTTCACGATTCCCCATCGAGCAGCCAAGCTCTCCTGCATAGATCTCCGCAACTCCAGCCTCACTCGGTTCTCTGCTCTGCTCAAAGCTCTGTCGTTGCCACGGCACTTCTGGTCCTACAGGGATTCCCACGACAGCTGCTCTTCAACAGACTCATCTACACAATCACTACATTCTGATACTCTGCCGACTCAAGCACCTTGCGCAGTACAGGATCTATAGTTTGCGTTTCTGACTCTTCGTTGCCTCCAGGACAATTCAGCTCTAGCAGTGATTTCCTCGTTGTCCTACCTACATGTCCTACCACATTACCTCCTATGGTCCTGGTGCCCGAGCCCATCCACCCCGGATCTAAATGCTCCACCAGAGACCCAAGGATGCAACAATCATGCACATTTTTCTCTCCTGCTACACCGAGCTTGTCCACACACACACACTGCCTTCATCTTTTGGAACCAGACTACATGCTCCACAGCAACCCAAGGAACAATATCCTTGTATTTTTGTTGTACAGTATTTATTTCCTTTCATTCCCTAGCAGGGGGAGTTCTGAAGCAAGTAAACCTTATACTCGCTCCAATCTCTCATTACCTTAATGACAAACTAATTAGCCCTAATTATGACTACTCATATCCTTTCCCTAATTACAGGTAACACTCTTTCCATCCTGTTGGAGGAAGTTGAGGTGTAGTCACCAAATATAAGCAAGCGTTATGCGAATAGCCAACAGTACAATTTCCACAGTGATTCAGATAACAACAATACAGACACTTTGGATTTACCTCACCTCTTCAGCCTCAAGAATGTAGCACTCAGCGTGTACAGTTCTAATCAACCTCAAGATGCTACAAGCATCAACACAGAGCAGACAGCAGACTTAGACCGCATCAAGCTACAATGCTCTCGCTCCCCATTGAGTTCAGACACTCATGATTCCCCATCAAGCCACCATGCTCTCCCTGCATAGAGCTCCACAACTCCGGCCTCACTCAGCTCTCTGCTCTGCTCCAAGCTCCATCTGAACACCTTTGAGAACACCAACAACTGACTACTGTAATGAAGACTACTAATAAATATGAAGCTCACTAAACACTGTGTATCTAATCTACCCAACAAGGTAACCTTAATCGTACGTTACAAGCTCATTCTCCAAGGTGTTCCCAACGTCACTATACTGTTGAACTAAAGTGCCCAAACCTAATGTACTTGAGGACCCATGAACAGAAAATGGGAAATCACATAAATTTTGCAAGCTGCTACAATTTTTAGTATCTCAGTGTTTGGCCTTATGGAAAGTATACATCAAAATGCAATGTACCATTTAGGATCTCAGGGTTGATCTATACATAATTACCAAAGTGTAATTACCTAAGTGTAGTTAAAGGATGAGAGTTACGCTCATGGTGTCTCGTCTTCCCAGAACTCTGCCATATAACGCTCTGAAATTACTGATGGTTTTGGCCTCTACCACCTTCTCACTTAACTTGTTCCAACCTTCTACCACTCTGTTCATGAAAGTGAATTTTCTTATATTTCTTTGGCAGGTTTGTTTAGTTAGTTTAAGTCTTGGAGATCTTGAAATTCTCCTGTTCCTCTTGTTCCTGAAGTTTCAGGTCTCAGGAATTCTTCTCTAGCAATTTTGTAAATTCTCGTTACTACTTTGTACACAGTGATCATATCGCCTTCTTTTCTTCTCTTTTCTAGTTTTGGCATATCTAATGCCCCTAACCTCTCCTCGTAGCTCTTGTACTTCAGTTCTGGGAGCCATTTAGTTGCATGTCTTTACACCTTTTCCAGTTTATTTATGTGCTTCTTAAGATATGGGCACCATACAACCACTGCATATTCCAGCTTTAGTCTCACAAAGGTTGTGAACAATTTCTTTTGTATTTCACTATTCATGTACAGTATTTAAAAGCAATTCAAATTGGAAAGCGTAGCATAGGCTCCTCGCACGATGTTCTTTATGTAGTCCTCAGGTGATAGTTTTCTATATTGAACCACCCCCCTAGATCTCTTTCTTCATCAGTATTTTTTAACGCTTTTTAACATAATTTGCATGTTGTGTGTGTAATCTATTTTCTCCAATTCCACATTTCTCCATGTGGCATTTATTCACATTAAATTCCATTTGCCAAGTGGTGCTCCATTCACTTATTTTTATCTAGGTCTTCTTAAAGGGCATGACAATCGTCTGAAATTCTTATCTTCCCTAGCATTTTAATTACAGCAGCATCATCAGCAAACATGTTCATATAATTCTGTATGCCATCTGGTAGATTGTTTATGTTGACAATGAACATTGCCGGTGCAAGAACTGAACCCTGTGGTACTTCACTCGTGACATTTCTCCAGTCCAATGCATTGCCTCTGATCACTGCCATCATTTTTCTGTCCACTAGAAAATTTCTCATCCATGTTAGAAGCCTCCCTGTCACTCCTCCTGTATGTTCTAGTTTCCAGAACAACCTCATATGTGGAACTCTGTTGAAAGTCTTTTTAAGGTCCATATAAATGCAGTCATCCCAACGATCTCGTTCCTGTAAAATCCTTGTGGATCTGTCATAGAAACTGAGTAAATTCATTACACAGGATCTTCCAGATCGAAAATCATACTGTCTGTTACTATATAATTTTTCTCCAGGTATTTTCCCCATTTAGTTTTAATGATGTTTACATATAAGTGTTTAAGTTTAAGTTAAAAACGAAGCTATACCTAATAAATTCCCTGTAACCTACCTTACCCCTCTGTTGTCAACCCATGTATGTTTTTTGTTTTTTTTTTTGTTTGTTTTTTCAAATCAACGCTGTTTGAATGTAATTTTCTGTAATAATTTGTAATTGTATTTATGCTGCTTTTTCAACAATGTTCCCCCCTCTTTTACCCCTATTTTTATTTGTTCTCAACACATTTTATTCTTTTTACCCATTAGTTTTAAGCTTTAGTCATTAATGTTTTTCCTGCCCGAAACGCTTTGCGTAATAATGGCTTTAGGCATTGTATATGCTAGCTCTATCTATAAAGCCAACAAACTTTGTAAAATCTCTTTATGTATGTACCTTACCTAAATAAAAATTATTATTATTATTATTATTATTATTATTTATCATACTAATAGTGCAGAATTTTGTATTTACTGTTTGTAGTTATAGCAATATAGCTGGACCAGTTTCTTTCCATATATGTTTTAGCTTAAATATTTTGTTTTCCAATGGTATGTGCGCTAAAGTTTCAACTAAATATGTGGCTTCATGTTGATAGATATGCTGACTTGCTGGTGCTGTCTGATGGGATGGTGCCTACACTTGGGCGTGCCTGTGGGGGAGCGTCAGGGCGTGGGCAGTGCCTATTGGGTGGCTGCTTCAATACTGTGGCTCGATGTGATGGCAAGTACGACTGTCTTGATCGCGTCGACGAGCAAGGATGTAAGTGTTACCTCAGATCGTGTTTAAGTACTCTGAGGTTTTCAGGAAAACTATTTTATCTCTGGATTATAAAGAAAAATGGTTTAAGTCTAGTGCAGGACAAGATGTTTGGGCACCTTCCCTTATACCTGGGAGTTCAACCACTCCTCTTTCTGAATACACTACATTTCTTGCACTTTTGACCCCAGCATAAAAATTGCAGTGGTTCAGGGAAATTAAAAAATCACTACAATATTGATGCATCAGGGGTCTTAGTAATTATTGGCTCATGTAGGTCAGGTGGGTTACCTAGATTCTGGTGCTTCTGGTTAAGCAAAACCACTGCATTTTTAACAGTGGTAATTAAAAGGTGGATGTATTCAAGAGGCACTTAGACAGGTTCTTGCAAGATGTACCAGACCAGCCAGGCTGTAATGTATATTTACCCAAGGGCTACTAATACTAGTGGCTTCGACAAGGACAGGAAGCTAGCGGCTTGTCAAAAGTACCCCCATTAGCCCTGATGATTTTTCCAACTGTATTTTAAGATCCAGCAGAGATTTGGCATTTATGCTTTGGCAGGTAGGCAGTTCCACAAGTTTACAATCCTATGTATGAAAGCATCTCCCATTTTCGGTCCTATATTGTGGCTTGTTGAGCTTGAACCTGTTGCTCCAGCCTCTTCCTCGTTCATGCTACATCTGACCTTTTGAAGAAATTGTCCAGATCAACATCCTCCCAATTGTTCAGTGTTTTAAAGGTTTTGATGAGATCCGCCCTGTCATGCCTGTTTGCAGTGTTGTTAGCCCTGTGGCCCCCTATTGTTCCTGATACGAGAGATGACTAAGCTCTGGGATGATTTTTTGTAGCCCAGTGTTGCACATTCTCCAGTGCAGTTATGCCTTTCTGATATATGGGCCTGTGGGCTACTCCTGGCAACAGCAAGTTGGACCAAGTTATCACAAATTGAGCCTTGCCTCGATGTAATTACCTAACCTAATGGGTTAGGTAATTAGGCAAGTGTTATGGGATGCAACCAAGAAAAGGTCACTCATTGGCCAAGGGGGGAACCATTATCAGCCTAAGATCATGGTTCCCAATAATACCATACCCTAATAATAATAATAAACAATAATAATGAAAATATTTAAAAAATATGAAAAATATTACATATGCTTTTAGTACAACTGACCTGAATTTACCTGAGGGCCATCATTTCAAGTAGCATCAAGAGGAATAGGAAGCTGGTAGCTTGTCAATGGACCCCCCCTGCCCCATTCCCCCATTATTTTCTAGTTGAATTTTAAACTGAAGTAATTTCTTGGCATAGAATGATCCAAAATCATTCCATGCCTAAATAAGAAGTAGAACCAAAACAAAGGACTCTTTACGACCCTTAAAAGATGAGACTAGCCAAGTTATAATGGACGACAAGAGGACAGCAAACACTTTAAATGAATATTTTACATTAGTGTTCACACTATACAGGTTCGATGAAATCATTGACAAACTAAAAGACTCTAAAAGTCCCAGGTGTGGATGGAATTATATCCAGAGTTATAAAAGAAGTGGTAGAAGAACTATGCCTACCAATGAAATTACTTTTCACAAAATCTCTGGACCAAGGGATAGTCCCCTCTTGAATGGAAATATGCAAATATCACCCCTATTTAAAAAAAAAAAAAAAGCAGAAAGAGCTCAGCAGAAAACTAAAACTGATCAGCTTGACATCACATATATGCAAGCTCTTGGATTATCAGGGAAGGAATCATTCACTATCTTTCAGTGAACAATCTTATACAATCAACACAACATGGGTTTGTTAAAAATAGATCGTGCCTTACAAACCTGCTTACATTTTTGGAAACCATCAACAGGTACTCAGACAAAGGCCTTCTGGTGGATGTATTATACATGGATTTTGCTAAAGCTTTTGATAAGGTACCACATGAAAAACTGGCTTTGAAATTACTGACGGTTTTGGCCTCCACCGCCTTCTCACCTAACTTGTTCCAACCGTCTACCACTCTGTTTACAAATGTGATTTTCTTATATTTCCCAAGCAGCTTTATTTTGTTAGTTTAAATCTATGACCTCTTGTTCTTGAAGTTCCGGGTCTCAGGAATTCTTCTCTATCAATTTTATCGATTCCTCTTACTATTTGTATGTGATGATCATATTGCCTCTTTTTCTTCTATCGTCTAGTTTTTGCATATTTCATGCCTCTAACTTCCCCTCGTAGCTCTTGTCTTTCAGTTCTGGGAGCCACTTAGTGGCATGTCTTTGCACCTTTTCCAATTTGTTGATTTGCTTCTTAAGATATGGGCACCATACAACCACTGCATATTCCAGCTTTGGTCTAACAAACATCATGAACAATTTCTTTAGTATTTCTCCATCCATGTATTTAAAAGCAATTCTGAAATTAGAAAGTGTAGCATAGGCTCCTCCCGCAATGTTCTTAATGTGGTCCTCAGGTGACAGTTTTCTATCTAGAACCACCCCTAGATCCCTTTCTTTGTCAGAATTCTTTAAAGATATCTCACATAATTTATAGGTTGTGTGGGGTCTATGTTCTCCAATTCCACATTCCATAACATGGCATTTATTCACATTAAATTCCATTTGCCAAGTGGTGCTCCATATACTTATTTTGTCCAGGTCTTCTTGAAGGGCATGACAATCATTTAGGTTTCTTATCTTCCCCATTATCTTAGCATCATCAGCAAACATGTTCATATAATTCTGTATTCCATCTGATAGATTGCTTATGTAGACAATGATCATTACCGGTGCAAGAACTGAACCCTGTGGTACTCCACTTGTGACATTCCTCCAATCTGATACATTGCCTCTGATTACGGCCCTCATTTTTCTATCAGTTAGGAAATTTTTCATCCATGTTAGAAGCTTACCTGTCACCCCTCCAAAAATGTTCCAGTTTCCAGAACATCTTCTTATGTGGAACTCTGTCAAAAGATTTTTTTAGGTCCAGATAGATGCAGTCAACCTAACTATCTCTTTCCTGTAAAATCTCTGTGGCTAAATCATAGAAACTGAGAAAATTCATTACACAGGCTCTTCCAGATCGAAAACCATACTGTCTGATATTATATCGTTTTTCTCCAGGTGTTCTACCCATTTAGTTACAGTATAATTATTTTTTCCAATATTTTTACTATTACACTTGTCAATGATACAGGTCTATAATTGAGGGGGTCTTCCCTGCTGCCACTTTTGTAGATTGGAACAATGTTAGCCTTTTTCCACACATCAGCTCTAACTCCTGTACACAGGGATGCCTGGAAAATCAGGTGAAGTGGAGTGCTGAGCTCAGTTGCACACTCTCTCAGAATCCATGGTGAAATTCCATCTGGACCAACTGCTTTGTTCTTACTTAGTTCCTTGAGCATTTTTCCACTTCGTCTCTAGACACCTCTATGTGCTCTATGTTGTTCTCTGGAATTCGTATTGTGTCTGGTTCCCTGAAGATTTCATTTTGTACAAACACACTTTGGAACTTTTCATTTAATGTTTCACACATTTCCTTTTCATTTTCCGTGAATCTATTTCCCATTTTCAACCTCTGAATATTATCCTTTACCTGCAATTTGTTGTTTATGAATTTATAGAATAGACCTGGTTCTGTTTTACATTTGTCTGCAATCCCTTTTTCAAAATTTCTTTCTGCCTCTCTCCTCACTGTCATGTAGTTGTTTCTCGCATCTTTGTATCGCTGGTATGTTTGGGGGTTTGGCCTCTTCCTATATTGATTTCATTTTTGTGTCTTTTGGTCTTTGACCCTCTCGCAATCTTGGTTGAACCAATCCTGTTTCCTAGTTCTGCATCTCTGCTTTGGTATAAATTTGTGTGTGCCTTTCTTATCATATATTTCACAAAACTTGACATACATCTCATTTACTTCATGTCCTAACAGCAAGTCTTTCCAGTCAAATTCCTTAAAGAAATGTCTGAGTTCCCCATAATGACCTCTCCTGAAATCAGGCTTTTCAACTGCTTCAACCTCATTTTCTTTCAGATTATAATGCATTGCATATTTTATTCCCAAAAAGACATGGTCACTTTTATCCATGGGAGGGAGGTACTGAATGTCAAATATCTCTTCCTCTTTCCAGGTAAATATCAAATCCAGCATGGAGGGAACATCCCCTTCCCTCATTCTCGTAGCTTGTTTAACATTTTGAAACATGAATGTTTCCAGGATGAGGTTTACAAATCTACAAGTCCAAAAATCCTGTTCTAGCTTCATATGCCTCCCAGTCTATGGATTTCAAGTTGAAGTCTCCGACTACCAACAATCGAGATCTATCTTTATCAGCTCTCACTATAATCTCTCTCATTATTGTTATAAGACCCTCCCGTTTATTACCCAGCTCCTCCTTTGACCATGTGTTGCATGGCAGTGGACTATATGCATTTATGATTGTTAAGTTTATCATCCTGATTGCAGATCTCTAGTACTATTATGTCAGCATCTCGTGGATTGGCAATCATTATTTCATTTACCTTTAGGTGTTCTTTCACCAGCACAGCAACGCCACCGCCTTTCCTAATTTTTCTGTCCCGTCATCAGACTGAGTAGCCCCTTGGGGATATGACCTCATTTAAAATATCATCTTCAAGTTTTGTCTCCGTGAGTGCAACAATGTCTGGTGTCTGCAGCTGTATTACATCACTTGACTCCAATATCTTTGATCTCATTCCATCTATGTTGGCGTATGCAATTTTCAGGAACATGTTTCCCATCTTCTTATTCTTCACTACCCCTTTCTCTAGTGATTTTGTTGGTTTGCCTTTTTGTACCATTTTACTGGTCTGCCTACCCTGTCACTTTGTAGAAAAAAGAATTGATTTCTTCTTCATTCCTGCTCTCATTTAGACGTAATGTAATGGCCCTGTAATGTTTGTGGAATGTTTACCCATAAATGGTAAAATGCTAGAATGGATAAAACAATGGTTGAAATAAAGAAAACAAAGGGTCATGCTAAGTGGGAACAAATCTGAATGGATAAATATGGTAAGTGGAGTACCTCAGAGGTACATTTTGGGTCCAACCCTTTTTGTCATATACATTAATGCCATTGAAGAGAATTTTACAAACCTCATCATCAAATTTGCAGATGACACAAAGATTTATGGTAAAGTGGGAAATGATAAGGATATTGAAGCCTTACAAAGAGATCTACATGAAATTCGCAAATGGTCAGAAGACTGGCAAATGCTTTTTAATATTGACAAATGCAAGACCTTGCATGTGGGGCATAACCCACACCACAGCTACCAAATCCAGTTATGGATTTTGGTAGTTGTGTACTTTTATACTGTATAAATGAGCACATACAGTACATAGGATTTGGAAAATATTTGTAATAATTGATATACTGTATTACTATATTTATTCATATGAAAGTACAATGGACTGTTGTACAGTATTTCAGATTTTGGTGATTAAATCCTACAATCTCACAAAGTTGTTAACACTAATAGTACAGTACTACAGTACTGTACTGTAGTACTGTAGTTTAGGAGCAGAATACAGTACTACAGTACTGTACTCTGTGGGCCTGTGGCTGAGTGGTTAGCGCTCTGGATTCGTAGTCCTATGGCCTGGGGATCGATCCCCGGCGATGGCGGAGAGTTAATGGGCAGAGTTTCTTTCATCCTGATTACCTATCAGTAAACAGGTACCTGGGAGTTAGACAGCTGTTACAGAGTGTTACAAAAAATTGATTGATTGACAGTTGAAAGGCAGCTCAACCCCCACAAGCACAACTAGGTGAATTCAACTAAGTGATTACTAACATCTCTTAAAGAGCTGAATAAATTTTTATAGTCCCCAAAATGTAAATATAGCCAACCAGAAGACCTGATAATTAAATATGTTTTAAAAGAAGGAATATAGAAGTTCTTTTCTTTATCATTTAAATTACCTCTGTTCCCGATAATAAGTTCAGTTTCTTGCAGGCGGTGTGAGAGGGGCAGCAGCAGAAAATCTGGCCTGGTACCGCCAACATCGTGCCAGCAGACTCAGGCGTCACTACGACTCCCCCTGGGTGTGGCAGGAGGTCATGGTTGGAGATTCTGGCACTACCACCATCACTGTTCCACTCCCCTTTGGCCCAGTTCACTTGGCACTCTCTGCCTTCAGCCTCCACCCAGAGCATGGCATGACCATACTGCCAGAACCTGTCGAATGGACAGGCTCTGTTGGGTTCTGGCTGTCAGTAGAAGCCCCAACCAGAGTAGGCGTGTGGGAGCAGGTAAGAGCTAATATAATGTTTATAAAATATTGATTATAACATACAAAAAATTTAATTAATTTTTTTCTAATTACAGTACTGTAATTTAACCAAACATTGAATATAAGGAACCACTTTCTTGTAGGCCCCTTGATAGCTTTTTTGAGCTTATGCCTTGGTACCTCTAAGCTTTAAGATCATTCTTGAGACCAGTGCTGTCCTGTCTGAAACCAGGACAAAAATCTATTTCTCTCTATGAGGCAAGGCAATCAGAAATTGACCTCAAAAACTGACCAGAAAATCCACAGACAAAGCAAAACAAACCACTGTTTTTAAAGAAAGGAATGAAAATGAGGAAACACGGCAAACAATATTTGGCAGTGGTTGAACAACCCCAACTCCAGTTCATCCAGCCACCACTAGATGGTAGCCCAGGCTACCCACAGTCACGCTCTGCCACTCACCTCACGGGTATCCCTTAACTTAATTTTTTTTTTATATACAATAGTTCTTACATTCTTGTATGCATAGATATATTAACGAAGATAAGTTCCAGCTCATGCGCTATGGAAAAAATGAAAATATAAAAACGGAAACCATGTACAAAACTCAGGCAAATCATGACATAGAACGAAAAGGCAATATAAAGGACCTGGGTGTACTCATGTCGGAAGACCTTACCTTTAAAGAACACAATAAAGTAGCCGTCACAACTGCAAGAAAAATGACAGGTTGGATAACAAGACCTTTTCACACTAGAGATGCTATACCGATGATGACACTTTTCAAAACGCTTGTGCTTTCTAGAGTGGAGTACTGATGCACAATGACAGCCCCTTTCAAAGCTGGAGAAATTGCCGACCTGGAGAGCGTGCAGAGATCCTATACTGCTAGAATTCACTCAGTAAAACACCTAAACTATTGGGACCGACTAAAGAGCCTAAATCTGTACTCCCTTGAGCACAGGCGGGAGAGATATATAACACGTGGAAAATGTTAGAGGGGCTGGTCCCAAACCTGCACACAGAAATAACATCACATGAGACCAGAAGACATGGCAGGATGTGCAGAATACCCCCTTTGAAAAGCAGAGGTGCAACAGGTACTCTGAGAGAGAACTCTATCATCATCAGAGGCCCGAGACTGTTCAACACGCTTCCGCTACACATAAGGGGCATAACTGGCCGACCCCTCACAATGTTCAAGAGAGAACTGGATAAGCACCTCCAAAGGATACCTGATCAACCAGGCTGTGACTCATACGTCAGGCTGCGAGCAGCTGCGTCCAACAGCCTGGTTGATCAGTCCAGCAACCAGGAGGCCTGGTCGACGACCGGGCCGCGGGGACGCTAAGCCCCGGAAGCACCTCAAGGTAACCTCAAGGTCAAGGTATAGTGTTTTGGGCAAGTCCTTAATCATAATTTTCATACACACACATTCCCAGGAAGCAGTTCATAGCTGCTGTCTAACTCCCAGGTACTTATTTACTAATAGGTGAACAGGGGCATCAGGGTGAAATAAACTCCGCCCATTTGTTTCTGCCTCCACCGGAGATTGAACCCAGACCCTTAGGACTATGAACTCAGAACGCTGTTCACTCAGCCATCAGGCCCCAAACAAATCTCTTCTCCTGCTTTAAACATCTGTGTGCATGTTGGGATGTTGACTAATTATTTTAGTGGCACCATTGAAGTAAAGTATTCATTTAATGTCAGCTGCATTCTTTTTTTTCATCAGCTATAATTCATTGTGTTAGGGGATGTGCAGCCAGTGTATATACACACGTTAAGCTTATATCGAGATCCTATTAAGGATGAACTACTGACCTTTCCCAGGATTCAACCCTATAACAAGCAAACTAACTCCTGGGTGTCTATTTACTGCTAAGTGAACAGGAAAATTAGATGATAGGAAATGTGCCCAACTATTTCTGTCCCACCTGAGATTCGAACCCAGATTTCCTGATTCTGAGTTGAGAAAGAACCAGACTGTACTACCAGGACCCTTAACTTGAATAGTCTTATCTTTCAAGGCTCCTACTCTAACTTTAATCATGATTTTACTACTTATATACATACAGTATAATAATTCATTGTGTTGGGGGACAGATAGCCAGTGTATATATACATGTTAGGCTTATATTGAGGTCCTCCCCAGGGTCGAATTACTAACCCTCTCCAGGATGCAACCCAACAACAAGCTGACTGACTCCTGGGTATTTATTTACTGCTATGTGGTGTCCCCGTGGTGCAGTGGTAAGACACTTGCCTGGCGTTCCGCGAGCGCTTTGTCATGGGTTCGTATCCTGGCCGGGGAGGATTTACTGGGCGCAAATCCTTAATTGTAGCCTCTGTTTAACTCAACAGTAAAATGTGTACTTGGTTGTAACAACGATTCTTCGCGGCGGGGATCGTATTCCAGGGACCTGCCCGAAACGCTACGCTTACTAGTGGCTGTACAAGAATGTAGCAACTCTTGTATATATCTCAAAAAAAAAAAAAAAAAAAAAAAAAAATGTGAAAAGGGGCATTAGGTGATAGGAAATGCATCAACTCATTTCAGTCCTGCCAAGGATTTGAACCCGGAATTCCCAGTTGTTAGTCAAGAATGAACCTCTCTGTACTACCTGGACCCAGCATGTACATCTGGATCTTTCTTATTGCTATGTGCAATTTCTTTCATAGCCTCTTTTGACCAATCTGATTTCCTGAATTGCTTCAAATAATCAAACATTACTGGGAATGAACATTACTTTTTGTGTGCTTGAGATGAACCTAATTACTAGAAAAATAGACGTAATAGAATGTTCTTACATACATCAAGAGCTTTAACATTACACACTTGCAGGCCAGGGTGCGAGTTACGGCAGTCAACCACCACTAAAATAGCCTTAACAGAATGCTCTTTCATTTTGCATGAGATTTAACATTACATACTTGCAGGTCGGGGTGCGGGTTACAGCAGTCAACCACCACTACTTTCCCGTCAATGCCATCATTGTCTTGGCCAACAACCCAGCCTATAAGTTTGTCAATGTCCAGAAATTCGACCAAATTCATGTGAGTAGGACAATTTGTTGTAATTAATCATACTTACCAATCAGATAATTATTTTACAGCTTAAATTGTTTAGGATTGTCTCATTTAATAATATCTCCAATATATTCTGGAAATCCTTGAATGCATTAACAAATACAGTGCTTGCTTTAAGTGAAATAACAACTTTTATATAGCTTTCTATTGAACTAATGCCTTCCTTAAACCCTTTTTGTTTTGATGAATTATGTTTGTCGTGGGCTATCCTCTAAAATCTGTATTCAGGTTCTATATTCAGAGAACTAAATGACATTGGACTTTTAGCAACTACATTACATTAGAAATTATGTAACAGCTACTTAAACATTCCCGGAATTCCATGTACTGTACTAAGAATGACATCCACACATATTTCCAAAGATTTCCACATGCAACAAAGGACTTCCCAAGAATTCCACACACTACAAATAACATCAAGCAGTTCCCCATCAACCAATTAAAGTACAGCCTAGTACTAAACCAAGTCAGGTGGATATGGATATAAGGCCGCCTTGCTATAGCATCTGGACTTACGGGCTGTTCATGCCCGTGCCACCTTTTGGGCGGCTTAATCTTTATCAATCATCAGCAGCATTTGAACAGTCTCGACACAGATCAGCCAGAAGCAATACCTTCTCTGATCTACCTCACCCCTGCCATCTTACCAGACATCACCATCTCTGTCACCATTTGTACTTTAAAGTCTTACCTTACAAATTACCTTGTCATGACACTCATACCATACAACCATCACCACTGTAACCATTTACAAAAATATGCTTCTAGTTACTGCACCATATTGTGTGCTTAATGTCCAAACCTGTCATTGACATTAAATTAGTGAGCCAAAGAATGATAAAACATCCAGCTCTGACAGATTGGATAAACCACAATACAGCCTCACTGACCTATCACCACAACTGCTGCCTACCATGGTTGTACTCTGTGGTATGGACCTCTGCCTGCAACCCCACAGATGTGACTCCCACCGTGGAAATCTCCAGCTATTCTTTCGACAGAATCATCAATCACATAAATTGTATTCTGCTACCTTACAAAATGTGGGACCTACAGCCTGTCCTGCCAACTCTGTCACTGCCAAGGCAATGCAGGTTCTACAGTGGCTCCTTCATCAGACTCATCTACTCTCACAATTGCATCCTGCTGCTCTGTCGATTCAAATATGCTCCCTGCGCAATGTGGGACCTTCAGCCTGCCTAGCTAACTCTCCATCACTGCCAGGGCAATGCACCTCCTACAGTGACTCCCTCATTGCCCTGACCAATCCCACTAGCCACCACCATGCTTCTCACTGTCCTTGTCGCTATTTCACTACACAATATGCTGTTCTCCTACATCGCCTCCTATGGTCCTTCTGGCTCTTTGATGGTTTGCTCAGCCTTGGTTTCCAGCTCTTCTAGCCCAGTGACTGTACCTGGGCATTTCTCCATGGCTCCACCTTTTTCAGAGAATCGATCTGGCAACTTACCATGCTGGTTCAACCACATCTGAACTTTGTGATGCAGGTATACCACCATTTTTATGGCCTGCAGGTAGCTAGGTTATTGATTTCTCACTTGCATTTGTCTTCCACGTGGCAGTATAAAGTAGCTTACCTTTCGTTTCATCTCTTTCTGTCTCTCCACTGTCTTTCATCAGTTTCAGGTCATGTGGCTATATCTTTGATTTCATGGTTATTACTTGATAAGCATCTCATGCCCAATACTGTGGCTTCTTATTGTCCAGTGCTAGCAAAGCCGCTGTTATTGGCTTTCAACATCAATTCTTTTGCGGCTTCATTCCGCAAGTTGTCTCGAACGTTTTGCCACCTCCAGCCTCTCATGCCTCTTCCGAGTTTTCTTGGTCTCTGGAGAGAGTCTTTGATTTTCTCTCCTCTCTTAGGTTCATTCCTGTCCCTTCTGTCTGGGATTCCATTTTTATGGTGATGTTTTTGCTGGCTCTTGCCTCCAGTTGTCAGGTTGATGAACTTTATGCTCTTCTCCAGTGGAGGTGGTTCTGCTCTTTTAGCCCCGATAGGCATTTTTTTTATTTGCAACTGTCTCCTTTTCTGGCTGAGAACAAATCAGTTGGCTTTCATTGGAGTCCTTTGGTTATTGATGCTTGCTTGATTCGGCTGGGGATGCATCATTTGTTGTGTCCAGTGGTGGTGATTTGTCACTATCTACATACCACCAGTTCAGCTTTGGTGAATTCTCTCTGGATTGATCTGGTCTTCTTGGTCCCTTTTTTCAAGGCTCGCATTTCTCAAGTTGTCCTCAGTGTCATTAAGGCTATCCAGCCTGTGGTCTACTACCAAGCCCATGATCAAATCAAATCAAAATAAATATTCACAATATGCTGCACTCATGGCAGTCTTTTCTAATATGTCTTGGGTGGATATTTGGGATTGAGAGTTTTGGCAGACTAACCATGACTATGGCAGCTAGATATTTAGTCATGTCCCTGGTCCTCTTTGGTTCTGTGTTGCCCTGGGTCATGTTTCCTTGTCATTGGTCTCTTCTTCGACCAAGTTCCTGCTGCCTCTCCTCCTCTCTGGTAAGTCCCTCTATTTTTCTTTGTGGTTATTTAGCTACAGGGAGCCACCAAGGGGCTTCCCCAGAAATCTAGCATTGAATGTAATGAAACACCTCTTTCTGGAAGAGATCAGAGGCTCCCTGTCTCCCTCCCTTCCTTCCATGTTCATTGGTTCATTGGTGTTTTATCTGCTCCAGAACTGAGTTAATAGCAGATGCTGAACCGAGCTCCTTGTAGTCGAATTCATTACTAATGGGTTCTAGCTAGGTTTTGTGTTTTGTTTATTCTGTATAATTTTGAGACAGGTTTATGTCTTTGAGTCTGGTGAACCTAAAAGTTGTTAATAAAGCTTTGCTGACTTTCTGGAAGTTTTTCTGGTGAAATGGCAGAATGTCATTTGCTCTCTGAACCTCGCATGAGAGTGCCAGGTTTTGGCACTGGTCCTCAGTAGGTTAAATGAACTCATTCAACTGATGTGGTAAGTATAATGGAGCAATCTCACTGAGATAGCTACAGGGAGCCACTTTCAGAAAGAGGTGTTTCACTACATTCAACACTCAAACGACAAGGCCGATGGGTACTTATCAATTGGGTGCCAAGTCATGCGTGAATAATAGGAAATGACATTGCAGACGAAGCTGCAAAACTTGCAACTAAGAGAAGAAATGTAGACATTTACATACCATAGAGTCTATCACAGATTAAAAAAGTACTTAGAAACAGAGCAATGTAAAAGATGTACAGTGACCACAACACAACAGTTGCAACATCAGGATCTACGGGTTGGTACAAGAATTCAACCAACTATGAACCACTTAGTTTGATGAAAGGGAGCAGTAGAGTAACAGAAGTACACTTACATCGCATCAGGCTTGGATACCCATGTGCATGGGAAATAGGCTTACAGGTTCTGGAAGATGAGAGGAAATGTCAGCACTGTGGAGAAATGTCTGACAGACCACTGGAACATTATCTAACACAGTGCACAGTTACAAACCCATTAAGATTTCAACTTAGATTCAACAGAGCAGAAGTTGTTAAACACATACTGCAAAATCTTACTGAAGCAACCATATGAGTCATAAATACTCATACTCTGCCCAAGTAAAACAGAAACAAGCAACACTTAGTTGGCCAGCCAGAGGCTTAGGGCCAGTGCAGGAATATCCCTGCAAAAAAAAAAAAAACTACATTCAACTCTGGAATTTTCACAGTTGTGGGGACAGGAAGCCTGTCAGGCTTGTCGAAGTCCCCATAGGTCAATTACTGATTGTCTCCAAGATGAAAACTGTAACAGTTGACTACCATAACTCCCATGTACCTGTTTAGTGTTAGGTGAACAGGGACATCTTGAATATCAAGACTGAATATCAAGATCACATGATGAGTCACAATAATAGGAGCTGCCTCGTATGGGCCAATAAGCCCTCTGCAGTTCTTATTCCTACTACAATCCCCTCTACTATACTTTGCTCCTCACCTCTCTCTAGCCTATTTATTGCCTGCATCTACTTCCTCATCACAATCGACTTGAGAATGGTCCAGGATGGACCGAAACGTCGTCGTCCCTTCACCTTCTAGTATGTGGTCTGGTCATCAAGATCACATTGGCCACTCTAAGGGCTGTAGAGACTATTTCTGAATATTTGGTACTGCACCAAAATCAAACTACTCATGAATGCCTTCTGGTGACCAAGACCAGAATTTTGCCCTCTCAGTAGAGACAAAGAAAAGCTATGGGATCACTGATCACCACAGAACAGAAGGAAATCAACTAAAAAAATTGGGTCTCTAAAACATTCACAGCATTCTCATAGACTGTCTGGGATAATATCACCTTGGAACTGCGTGAATTCAGCCAGTGTGAAACTAGGTGTAAATGTACCTTAACCCTTAAACTTCGCTAAATGTCATGTGTGTGACATTGAAGACAAAGTTGGAGCATTTGCCTAGTAGATTATTCACAAAACATTTGAAAGAGTTTCAAAAAATGTTAAAAACTGAGTTCAATGTCACACATCATATGAGGTTTTGCGCAGTTTAAGGGTTAAGAAGCCGTTACTGAGTCAGCTTCCAATTTAGCACTTTAACATTAAACCATTAACAAAATTAGTCTCTTAAATTTTTCTAATGGTTGATTACCTGCTTAGAGCTATCCCATCATTATAACTTGCATATTTTTATTATCCTAATACAATGTTGTTTCATTTATTTCTTCTTTTAATATGGTGGAAAACCTTCATCCTTGCAGCCTTCTGCTGGTCCTATGGAGCGGAGGATGGTGGGTGGAGAACACGAGCATGCCGTGCTAGTGGAGGGCGGAGAAACACACACCTTGTACTTGCCAATAGTTCCTGTCATGCTTGGGGAAGTTGTTGTCATTGTGCAAGCCTCACTACCCGGCAAAAAAATACAAAAAGAAGTCACCATCTTCGTTGAGGTGAGGAAGGGCTTTTGTATTTTTTTTTTTTTGTGAGAAACTCTCCTAGAGAAACATTCTTTACAGTCTTATTTTGCTTACTAGTTCTAAAGGCTAAAACTCATGTCAGTGAACCATGTGTCACACACAAACACACACATTTATTTATACAAGAAGATTCTTGTATCTTCTTGTATATTTATCCATATACAAGAAGATACAATTGGTAGATAAAGCACATGTTGGTGGTTGAGTTTAACATTCTAGCAAAACCAATAACATGCATAGTGTTTTGGGCAGTATTCCTGCCTACCACCAGCACCAAGATCGGTAAGGTTGCCAGGCACAAAAATCATTGCTAGTAAAAAAATATTGAAAAAAGCTAAATTATTACAATAAAATGTGTTACTAATAATAAAATATTGAAAACAAGCCAAGTTATCACAGTCTGTTATCACAAACTTACGAAAAATTGCTTACGATATAGGTTTGCAGTTATGAAGGAAGCTCACATCATCTCACCACCTTACCCAGCATACATAACCCACACCTGATATGTCATGCATTATTTAAGAACTGTGTTACCTTTAGGACACATTTATTCATTATCTAAATTAAAAAATGCTCCTAGAAATTTTATAGGAATGTTTAACTTTCATTTGCCTGTCAGCCATTTGCAATAAGTGAATGACAACAAAACCAGAGTGCTGTGATGTGTGCCACGATTGGGTGCGCCACCCTGGTGACCTGATGCAGCAGCAAAACATCATATCCAGAAATACAAGTTTAACATCCTTTATAGCAATTCTCTTACCCAAAATATAAATGCAAAAGTGTAAAAGTGTGCATAGAGTGAGTGTTAGTGTATGTTTAGCATGTTTAGGGATTTGAACAAAGGGATTGCATGTTTGAAGAACATTTTTTTATTGTGATGAGAGCTCATTTTTGCTGGGTGATGATGAGTTTGAGATAATTTGTGGAACCTGTTCTCTTTATAGCGTGTCACATTTTGATGTGACATACCTAACTGGTATACTCTACCTAAGGCCAAAAACTGATGTACAAGAAAATGGTAGCAGCTCACAAAATTGACACTGTCCCATTTTTGATTCATGGTTCCCCTGGTTGATTAGGTTAGGGCGCTTTAGTACAAAATTTTCCTGTCGCTGGAAATGCTCACGAGAACAGGCTGAGTTTGCAATGGTTGAGTTTCATGTACAGATACCATAAGTTAGATAGGAAGAATTAGAGTAATGAGAAGTTTTTTTTTAATATATTCTCTGTTTTTGAGTATCTTTTGATCATGTGCTGTACATGAGTGCTGAAGCTATCCTATGCCAGTGAACAAGCCAAGGAATTTTCCCTCATTTTACTCTCAATGTTTATTCATTTGCTCATTGAGGTTGCATATTGCTGTTTTGCTGTGTTGTCTTAATATTTATTTCTTGGTATCTAATGATGATTTATTTATGGGCATGTAAAGAAATTTATTCACTCTAATACAACATGCATGCTTTGTGATTCTACACTATTGTAAATGTTGTTACAAATAAAAATTATGTATCTATCTACATATATGATGTATCATATTTCAGATGCTTATTGAACCATACCTCTGTTGTCATTTATCACATTTCATTTGAGATATTAGTTTTGTACTTTATGTTTTCACATATTGTACACTCATATAATTACCTACAAAGTCTTGATGAAATATCTTCTAACCACTGGACACTGTTGGCACTGCTCACTCAATTAAAATTTCATTCATATTGAAGCTTGGAAAGTGCTTCAAATAAAACATAACTGGACATAAACTTAGTAATTAGAAAGTTGGCACCTTCACAAGTCATATGCTGTCTATCACTGCAACATCATCTGGAGACAGTAGCCAACAAGCTAATACAGGAAAATTACAAGCGTGTCTTTCCTTTTTCACAGCCTCTGGGAGCGGTCCAAGAACGGCACACATCACTACTACTCGATCTCAGCAACCGAGCCTATTTCTTCACTTTCCTGGACGTGAACGTGTCCGAGGGGCTGGTGCCAGGCTCTGATGATGCCCATGTGTCAGTGTTTGGTGATACAGTAGGAGCAGTCTTACCCAACATTCCAGCCACAGCACATGACCTCCTTGGACTTCCCACAGTAGGTCTTATTATGCTGGCCATTCAGTTCTATCACTGTGGGGCAGAAAGTGTTTGCAGGGCGAGCGTAGGTCATATTATCCTGTGAAGTAATTCTTATTGTATCGAGATAAATGTTTTATCATGCTTGGTAATAATTTTAACTTTGAACAGATAGTGGCTATTAACTAGGATAAATTTAAAGGAAACTTAGTTTTATTACTATTATTACTATTATTATTATAATAATAATAATAATAATAATAATAATAATAATAATAATAATAATAATAATCCCAGGTTAAATTACTGTAATTATAGAATATCATGGTCCAGTAGGTTAAGGAAGGGAAACCCAGAATGCTGGTTAACTTCTCAAAGTGCTCCAATAAATTTTGCATAATGATATCACTCCATTAGGATTTCCTAGTTTGTAAATGGTTTATTTGTAGACAATACCTGGTGTAGAAATACTGTATATATATTTTGTATAAATGTTTTATGTACAAGTAGATTTACAATACAATACAATACAATACAATTTTATTTAGGTAAGGTACATACATACAATAAATATTTACAAGGATTGTTTAACTTATAGGTATAGCTAGTACATACAATGCCTAAAGCCACTATTACGCAAAGCGTTTCGGGCATGATAAACTTCTAGGTATTTAGATAAATTTATTTCTAGGAAGGCTCCTCAGAAGCTCCTTGGGCAAAATACTGGTCTAGCCAAACCTTAGAAAGATACACCAAGCCTATGAGACCCATCTTTACCTACTGGAAGTCAGGAATAGAGTCAGGTTCTCTCAATGAGGCAATAGAAGCTTGAGGACCAGATATTAAACCAAAATCAAGAAAAAAAGCATCCCAGAGGCCCCCATAACCTGCTGGGGATTACCAAGGCTGGAAGGATGCAATCCAAGCTGGGACACCCAGGCACTGGGACTTGATGACAGTGCTCTTAAAAGTTCTATGTAAATTAACCCAGCCCAACTAATATGGCTGGGAAAACCTACCTAAGCTCACTGAAGTACAGCATGCATGTAACCAGTGCACCCCACAAGCCAAGGTGCTCCAACCAGCGCAAAGACAATAGTGAAAAATTCCAGGTTGAGGTCTTTCACCTCACTCTAAGGTGAAGGCGGTGCACAAGTGAGGTGCACCTCCAAAGAAATGACACCCAAACACTCCAGGAAAAAAACCCTGGCAGTGCAAAGGAGGCACTAGGGAGAGCCCAGAGAAGAAAACCCTGAACACATGCAGCTTCAAGTGTACTAAACTTCTAGCCCACACATACAAAAGTGCAAGGAACAGCCACCAAGGCAAAATGAGAACCCAAGAAAAATATTGGGGTCAGAGTGACTGTGGTAGACTTGGTAGACTCCACACATCACAAGAGAACTGATGGTTGAGTGGCCTGTGAGCCATGACCTGCCATCCCCCCCTTCTTCCCCATACGAAGGGGGGAGGGTGGGGCGAATGAGCAAGTGCTGGGTTATAACATTTTCGGTGACTTGTTTACATTGTTTGGGGGAGTTCTATGGGCATTTTCAAGTTTGCTGGTATCAGAAGCAGTCAGCTGTGGTTTATTTTATCTTGCTTACTTTCTTGGTGCTTCCCTTGGTGATGACATTAATGACTAATGTAATATATAATATAGCTCTGTGTGCCTCTGTGAGAGGACCACGTTCTGGCACTATGTCCATGGTAGGCAAGAGAACTCCGTGACTGATGGCACCTAGTAGATGGCACCTAAGTCAGAGATGGTAGCATCAGGGAGGCACCAGGGCTTCCCCCAGAAAAAATGCAGAATGTTGTATGCAATTGACTTAAATAATATGCCAACTAAATTGCAGTAAATTTATTTTAATTTGAAGGGGAAATAATTGTTATAGGGGTAAGAAATGCTTACCTTGCTTTTTAGAAATACATGCCACTGCTCTTGATTGACTCTTACTTTAACCATTCTCCTTCTGCAGGTTAGGTTAAATTAGGTTTGATAGGCATTGAGTACCCGCCTGAAGGATCTTTACTACTGTATATATGTTCTCTTTCTGCAGGTTGGATGTGAGCCTGTAGTGTTCAGCTTCTTGCTAACAGTATTGCAGATGCGCCACTGGAAGGAAATGGCTCAAGAACCAGCATTGAAAGAAAGAGAAGTGTTTCAGCGTCTTGCTTTGCTCTACCAAACTCTCTTGGTTTATCAAGGACGAGATGGTGGATTTAAGAATTACAGGTCAGTCGTGAATTTCTTAACTCAGCTCTGAAGTTAAATGTGAAGCACTCAAATCTAGGAAATAGGGCCTATGCTATGATATGTAACCTCTGTCCATAGGCCTAGAGAAATTATTCTAAATCATGTAATGTTTGCCAGGTCCCCTGCATGTGAAGGATAGTTGTATATTTGGGAGATAGAATTAAATGTTGGGATAGGAATGCATGTGAAGATAGAAGTGCATATGGGGGAAAGGAGTGAGAGTGTGGTGATAGAAGTCCATGTGGGGAAAAAAAGCACATATGGGAAATAGGAGTGTATAATTACCTAAGTGTAATTACTAAATTTAATTATTTTGCAGTCCTCGTGGCACAGTGTTAAAATACTCACCCGGTGCTTAGCGAGCGCTTTGGCCGGAGTTCGTATCCTTGCCGAGGAGGATTTACTGTGCGCCAATCCTTAACTGTAGCCTCTGTTCACCCAGCAGTAAATGGGCACCTGGTTGTTAAACGATTTGGCGAGTCGTATTCTGGGGAAAATTAGGATTAAGGACTTGCCCGAAACGCTATGCGTGCTAGTGTACAAGAATGTAAGAACTCTTGTATATATAAATAAATAAATAAAAAATAATTAAAATACCTAAGTGTAGTTACAGGATAAGAGCTATCATTGGGTCCCGTCTTCCCAGCATTCTTTGTCATATACAGTAATGCTTTGAAACTACTGACAGTTTTGGCCTCCACCACCTCACCTAACTTGTTCCAATCGTCACCACTCTGTTTGCGAAAGTTAATTTCGGTTGTAACAGAACCCATGAGCACCACACCAGAAATAAACACAGTTTTGATATTCCTAGAGTACGACTTAATCAAACCAGAAATGCTCTACAAATCAAGGGGCCCAGAATGTGGAATGACCTTCCCAACCATGTTAAAGACTGTACCTCTCTCAACCAGTTTAAGTTAAAAACGAAGCTATACCTAATAAATTCCCTGTAACCTACCTTACCCCTCTGTTGTCAACCCATATATGTTTTTAGGACAGTCGTTTTTTTGTTTTTTTTTTTTTTTTTTGTTTTTTTTTTAAATCAACGCTGTTTGAATGTAATTTTCTGTAATAATTTGTAATTGTATCTGTGCTGCTTTTTCAACAATGTTCCCCCCTCTTTTACCTCTATTTTTATTTGTTCTCAACACATTTTTTTCTTTTTACCCATTAGTTTTAAGCTTTAGTCATTAATGTTTTTCCTGCCCGAAACGCTTTGCGTAATAGTGGCTTTAGGCATTGTATGTACTAGCTCTATCTATAAAGCCAACAAACTTTGTAAAATCTCTTTATGTATGTACCTTACCTAAATAAAAATTATTATTATTATTATAATTTTCTTATATTTCTTTGGCAGCAGTTAATTTAAATCAATGCATGTGGTAAATAAGGTGCATGTGTGGAGGATAAAGTAAGGAATGCATGGTGGGGGGTAAAAGTGCATGAAGAGAACAGGAGAGTGGGACTGGGGTGGTGTCCGTCTGTTTAATCGACCTGACCATCAACCAGGAGGTGCTTGAGAACACTGATCCTCAGAACTGAACTCCAGGTAGCTTGCCTAATTCATCAATTGTATGGACACGTTGTGTACCCTTGGCTAGCCTAATTCAGTTGGCTAGCCTAATTCAGTTGGCTAGCCTAATTCAGGTGGCTAGCCTAATTCAGCAATTAGGCTAGCCTCCAGGTGGGTAGCCCGGAGGCTATTTGGGAGATATAAATTTACCTGCAGCAACGATCATTTACCGTGTTTGCCTCATGTTTTATTTCCCTTTTGAATGAGTAACTTCTTTTCTTTTTTTTGCTTAGCAAAGGGGTTTTGGACACCTTTGCTAAACATGTGCTGGCCTTCTCTGCAGTAGCTGCTTTATTAGGGGCTTTGAAAAGGACAGCAAAACCTTTTATCCCCTCCTTATCCTCTTTATTTTATTGGTGCCTGTTTGATGATTTGGTGTCCCAAAGTTTGGGGCTATATATATTTAGGTGACATACAGTTTTAAAATTTTCAATAACACTACTGTACTGTACTGTACTTAAATCAGTATTTACTGCTAAATGTACGATTAAGAATTTATCTGTTTACATTTGAGAATATTTTTTTTTCCCTTCCAGGACAAGTCAGACAAGTTCAGTGTGGGTGACATCACTCGTGATCCGAGCTCTAAATGAAGTGTCTGTCAGCTGGCCTCACTTACTTTATGTGGACCCTCAGGTGACAGACAAGGCTTTGAAGTGAGTTTAATATTTGGTTTTTACTCCATTCCTGTTGATATACAATAGATAGTGAAAGAATTTATTTGTTTTGTCGTGTAATTGCTGGCTTTAGATTTCTACGTATTTCAGGAGCACTTGCATGTTAGTAATCAACAAATACAACTTCAATAGAATATTAAACACAGTCGAAGCATTTGATACATTTGTCTCTTTCAAGGTCTTTTGTTTGTTGAAAGAGGCAGATTCCATCTATGCCTTTCCATGATCATTTAAGAACTGTCAGCCTCAATGCTCTCAATTTATGGGGAAGATAATAAGGCACCTGAAAAAGCATACCAACAAGGCTTTGTCAAAAATCACATCAGTTCTACACACAACCAGACCTCTGCCAGAGATATCCTAGGCAGCAACACCAAAATAATTAACAGATAAAATTATAATAAAATATTTGACATAGCCAAAGCACTGTATATCAAACACTTTCATCCAACTGCGAATAATAAGCTTACACTTAAGAACATCCTGCCATCTACACAACCACGAGAGAACTGCTAGTTTACACCTTGACTTACTGACCCAGCTGACTAATGAAACTGCAGGAGGAGCGGGGGGGGGGGGGCTTAGTCAGTCTCCTGTGGCTGGATAATATCTCACCTTACCTCATTATACATAGATTACAAACTGTCATCTTGAGAATTTGTATTTATTTTTACCTTCTGTCTCCATGGAGGAGTGTTTTATCAAAATGCATCCTTTAGAAACACACACACGCCAAACTTAGAATATGCAGTGGTTGTGTGGTGCCCATATCTCAAGAAGCACATCAACAAACTGGAAAAAGGTGCAAAGACATGCTACTAAGTGGCTCCCAGAACTGAAGGGCCAAAAGCTACGAGGAGAGGTTAGAGGCATTAAATATGCCAAAACTAGAAGACAGAAGAAATAGAGGTGATATGATCACTACGTACAAAATAGTAACAGGAAGTGATAAAATTGAGGGAAGATTTTCTGAGACCTGGAACTTCAAGAACAAGAGGTCATAAATTTAAACTAGCGAAGCACAGATGCCGAAGAAATATAAGAAAGTTCACTTTCGCAAACAGAGTGGTAGACGGTTGAAACAAGTTAGGTGAAAAGGTGGTGGAGGCCAAGACCGTCAGTAATTTCAAAGCATTATATGACAAAGAGTGCTGGGAAGACGGGACACCATGAGCGTAGCTCTCATCCTGTAACTACACTTAGATAATTACACTTAGGTAATTACACAAATTGTCGCATTATCAGAGATAAAACTCAAAGGAAATATATTTAATGAAGTCGTATTCCCAAAGGGCTAATCAGTTTGGAGACATGACAGGGAAACTAGAAAGGAAGGAAGGAAGGAGGAGTAGCTGTGCTGGTGAAAGAACACCTGAAGGTAAGAGAGTTAGTATTTGAAAACCCTCGAGATATTGACATAATGGCATTGCAGGTCTGGAATCAGGATGATAAGCTGATAATTTTAAATGCCTACAGCCCACCAACAATTAAGCAACACATGGACAAAGGAAGAACTGGATGACAAACGAGAGGGCCTCATAATGGTCATGAGAGATATTATTGTACAAGCAGATAAAGATAAATCACGACTGTTGATACTGAGGGACTTTAACTTTAAAGCAATAGACTGGGAGGCCTATGAAGCAAGAATGGAGGACTTTTGGACATGCAGATTTGTGAACCTCATTCTGGAGATATTCTTGTATCAACACATCAAGCAGGCCACAAGAATGAGGGAAGGAGATGTACCATCAATACTGGATCTAGTATTCACCAGGAAAGAAGAAGAGATATTTGACATCCAGTACCTCCTTTCCTTGGGAAAGAGTGATCACATCCTGTTAGACATTAAATATGCTTTAAGATATCATCTAGAAGAAAATTGGGACATTGAAACAGTTGATAAACTCAATTTCAAGAGAGGTCACTATGGGGAACTTCGAAATAATTTTAATGAGTGTAATTGGACAGACTTGTTACTAGGCAGGGAAGTAAATGAAATGTATGCCAAATTTTGCAAAATATACGATAAAGGCATTTAAAAATTCATACCAAAACAGAGGTGCAGGGCCAGAAAACAGGATTGGTTCAACAGAAATTGCGAGAGGGCCAGAGACCAAAAGACACAAAAATGAAATCAATATAGGAAGAGGCCAAACCCCCAAACATACCAGTAATACAAAGATGCGAGAAACAACTATACGGAAGTAAGGAAAGAGGCAGAAAGAAATTTTGAAAAGGGATAACGGTTAAATGTAAAACAGAACCGGGCCTATTCTACAAATTCATAAACAACAAATTGCAGGTAAACGATAATATCCAGAGGTTGAAAATGGGAAACAAATTCATGGAAAATGAAAATGAAATTGTGAAACATTAAACTAATAGTTACAAAGTGTGTTTGTACAAAATGAAATCTTCAGAAAACCAGACACAATAAGAATTCCAGAGAACAACATACAGCGTATAAAGGTGACAAGAGATGAAGTGGAAAATATTCTAAAGGAGCTAAGTAAGAACAAAGCAGTTGGCCCAGATGGAGTTTCACCAGATGGAGTTTCACCATACCTTGACCTCAAGATCAAGGTATGGGTTCTGAGAGAATGTGCATCTGAGCTCAGCATTCCACTTCACCTGATCTTTCAGGCATCCCTGTGTACAGGAGTCATAGCAGATGTGTGGAAAAAGGCTAACATAGTTCCAATCTACAAAAGTGGCAGCAGGGAAGACCCCCTCAATTATAGACTTGTATCATTGACAAGTGTAATAGTTAAAATATTGGAAAAAATAATAAAAACTAAAGGTAGAACCCCTGGAGAGAAATGATATAATATCAGACAGTATAATTTTCGAACTGGAAGATCCTGTGTTATCGAATTTACTCAGTTTCTATGATCGAGCCACAGAGATTTTACAGAAAAGAGATGGTTGGGTTGACTGCATCTGTCTGGACCTAAAAAAGGCTTTCGATAGAGTTCCACATAAGAGGTTGTTCTGGAAAATATTGAATGGGTGACAGGTAAGCTTCTAACATGGATGAAAATTTTTCTGACTGATAGAAAAATGAGGGGAGCAATCAAAGGCAATGTATCGGACTGGAGAAATGTCACAAGTGGAGTACCACAGGGTTCAATTCTTGCACCAGTGATGTTCATTGTCTACATAAATGATCTACCAGTTGGTATACAGAATTATATGAACATGTTTGCTGATGATGCTAAGATAATAGGGAAGATAAGAAACTTTGATGATTGTCATGCCCTTCAAGAAGACCTGGACAAAATAAGTATATGGAGCACCACTTGGCAAATGGAATTTAATGTGAATAAATGCCATGTTATGGAATGTGGACTGGGAGAACAGAGACCCCACACAACCTATAAATTATGTGAGAAATCTTTAAAGAATTCTGATAAAAAAAAAAATAGATCTAGGGGTGGTTCTAGATAGTAAACTATCACCTGAGGACCACATAAAAAACGTTGTGAGAGGGAGCCTATGCCACGCTTTCTTACTTCGGAATTACTTTTAAATACATGGATGGCAAAATACTAAAGAAATTGTTGGAAGGATATCAACAAGATCAAAGGGAAAAATGCTGCAGAGATCTCGCATCCTAATCCTCTGCACAAAGCAAATGAGCTTGTTGTTGATGCTTGGGCCACAACTTCCAGCTTTGACAGTCTTCCTCTACCCACACAGAATGAATTAAATAATAGATATGCTGATAGAGCAAGTATCCTTGACTTCATGCTTCATCAAGAGGATGACTGTGACATGCTTTTTACTAAATAGGAACTAGACTCTGCTCTACATAAAGGCAAAGCTACACCACCCGGGGAGGATGGAGTTACTTATGACATACTGCATATGCTTCTGCTAGTTCCAGGGAATCCCTTGCTTCAATTGTATAATATGAGCTATGTAATTGGGGAGCTTCCAAAGTCATGGACCAACAGTCTTATTATTCCCATTCCTAAACCAAACCAGCAGAGTGCTTTTTGCCCAATCTCCCTCACTAGTTGTCTCTGTAAGTGTCTAGAGAGGATGGTTCTCAACCGTCTCCTTTACAGAATTAGTAACATGTTGTCTCCCCCAGATATATGGCTTTACGCATGGAAAAAGTGTACATCACTGTATTACCACATTCCTCACCCTGCATACTGATAGGTCATATACCACTTTCCTAGATCTTAAGCCAGCCTTTGACATTGCTAACCCACACATCATTCTGAGCAAACTTGCTAAAATGAATGTTGGAGGATGGCTTCTACGATGGATAAGAGGCTATCTATCCAACAGGAAGTCATCTGTACTGTTCCAAGGGCATAGGAGTGTAATGAGAGATTTTGAACTTTGCACTCCACAGGGAGGAGTCCTCAGTCCTATTCTGTTCAATGTGTTAATCAATGCACTTTTAAACTCAGTAACTAAAAGACCCAGCGAACACATCATTAGCTATGCGGATGATATACTGATCCACACCAATGGGTATACCAACACCCAAAATGTTCTGAACTCTGTATTGCACACATGTCAGGAACTAGGCTTGGCAATCTCAGTAGAGAAAACAAAGATCCTGAACCGACGCCCACCCAGACGAGATGGGGCCGTTCGCAAAATGCAGTTGCATGATGGCTCTCTGCTCAACTATGTAACCAGATACAAATACCTTGGTCTTGAAGTTCCACTGTACCGCAGTGTTGTAGCCAGACTGGGTCGCTAATGTAGAGAGAGGCTCCGTGCTCTCAAGGCTGTGGCAGGCTACCATCCAAGCTTGGTGCAAATGTGAGAATTGTCAAAATGATGTATCTCTCATATATTAGGTCTCTGATTGATTATGCTGCACCCATGCTTGCTCTAGTGCCTGAGAGAATGCTTGGAGGGCTGGAAAAGATGCAAAACGAAGCCATGAGTATTCAAAATTCTAATATTTTTGGGGGGCACTTTTTTTTCCTTAGCTTAAATTTGTGTCCTCTTGTTCTTGAAATTGCTGGTTTCAGGAATTCCTCTTTGTCAATTTGGTCAATTCCTGTTATTATTTTGTAAGTGGTCATAATGTCACCTCTTTTTCTTCTATTTTTCTAGCTATGGCATATTTAACACCTCTAGCCTAGCCCCATAACTTGTTTTTCAGTTCTAGAAGCCATTTTGTAGTATGCCTTTGCAGCTTTTACAGTTTATTGTTGTGCTTCTTGAGATATTGGCACCATACAACTGCTGCATATTCCAGTTTTGGTTTCACAAAAGTAATGAACAGTTTTTTTAGTATTTCACCATTCATGTACAGTAGTTAAAAGCAAGTCTGAAGTTGGAAAACCATGCATTCACTCCTTGCACAATGTTCTTTATGTCTTCTTCCTGTGACAGTTTACTATCCAAAACCATCCCTAGATCTTGTTCTTTATTAGAGTTCTTTAATTCCTTCCCACATAATTTATAAGTTGTGTGTGGTCTATTTTCTCTGATTCTACATTCCTTAAAATGACATTGATTCACATTGAATTATTTTTGTCACAAGATGCTCCAAGCACTTATTTTATCTACATCTATTTGTAGAGGGTGTTTTTACAGTCTTGCAAAGCCACTAACATGCATAGCATTTTGGGCAGGTCCTTAATCTAACAGATTAGTCATTAGTCATAGTCATTAGTCATTAATGTTTTTCCTGCCCGAAACGCTTTGCGTAATAGTGGTTTTAGGCATTGTATGTACTAGCTCCATCTATATATCGATCAAATTATGTAAAATCTCTTGTATGTATGTACCTTACCTGAATAAACATTTTATTTTAGATAAGATAAATTAAGAGGTACATTGTAGAAAATTTGAATTTAACATAATAACTACATGTAAATTGATGAAAATTATTACACTGGTGAAGTTGTATGTATTGAATTAAGACATTATTGCACTGGTGAAGTTGCATGTCTTAAGTACTAATATTGGGGAAGTGAGTGATGAGTTCATTAGATGTTGAGATGCAAGTCTCCTCCTAATCACACACTCAGACCTTGACAAAGCTCTCAAGAGGTTACCTACCTTACCTTGAGGTGCTTCCAGGGCTTAGCATCTCCACGGCCTGGTTGTTGACCAGGCCTCCTTGTTGCTTGACTGATCAACCAGGCTGTTGGATGCAGCTGCTCGCAACCTGATGTATGAGTCACAGCCTGGTTGATCACAGGAGAGTGCAAAAGACTTGATGTAAATTCCTTACATAAATTTCACAAATATACAAGTGTGGATTTTCATCCTACTATTATTGTTATTGTTATTATTATTATTATTATTATTATTATTATTATTATTATTTTTGTCATTATATTATGATTATTAACATTAAGCATGATGATTAGGTTTGTGTTGGCACAGCAGGCATCACATGGGGCATGGTGGGAGCCCAATGGTGAGGTTGGTGACAGGAAGCTGGTGCCATCACCCTACTCCCTTACTGGGGAAACCACACATGCCCTTAACCTCTCCTCCACTGCCCACACTATGCTCAGTCTTCTAGCGCTGAAAGGCCTGCCCTCGGTAAGTACGGGATCCAGTATGCAAAATTTTATTTATCTGAATTTATCTGAGGGCTAATATCTCTAGTGGTTTTGATGGGGGACAGAAAGCTAGCAGCTTGTCAGAAGTCCCTGCCCCCCCCCCCCCATTATATACCGGAGTTTATCAAAAGGCCACCTCAGCTTCCACATGAGCCTTCCGAGGGCCACCTTCCACTAGCAGCCTCAATGTGGAAAGGAAACCAGCATCTTGTCAAATGTTATGGTAATGTAGAATGATGATGGACACACAGTATAAGCATAGAAACTGAGAATACACAGTTTTGTGTATGGCAGTACTGTAACGGGTAACCTGGGCCAGTTCTTAGCACTAGCAAGCTGCCAAGGGCCTATGAGAAAAGTATGTTTATAGTTAGCAATTGATTTATTCAGCAAAGCTTCACAGAACAATCACCCTATATTAAAAACATTTTTGCTATAACCCAGCAATACGTTAGTTAGTTTTATTTATTTGTCTTTTCTTAATCCTTAACCTTCTAACCACACACACTCTAAATTATATCAATTTCTTGGTATGCATTTAAAAACTTATTCATTTTCCTTTCTGCATCATAAAACATTTTTTAATGATGGTTTGAAAAAAAATTCTAGTGGCTTGCACCTGTCTGTGTTAAAGGGTCCAAATGTTATTATCGATAATATGGAGGTTAGCAATTTATATGAGTAGGACATGGATCACCTAACACCTACATACCAAAGTAGCTCCTCATAGGAGTGCCTTAAGTTTCAATTGAGCAGCAGATAGGGACCTCTGGAATCCATCCTTTTAAGGAGTGTTGTAAGGGGGGCACGAGCTTCTAAGCCATACCCTAGAGTATTAACTATTGAAATCCTTCCTTACTGCATGGAAATATAAAGGTCATTAAAGTCAGCTCTATACTAATTATGAGAGTAATCAAATAATCAAATACACAAATGTTTGAAGAAGGAGAGGAGAATGAATATAAGGATATACCCATAACATGCAAAATAATTAGAAAGAACATTGACAAACTAAAAGACTCAAAAGTATTATGTGTGGATGGAATTCAATCCAAAGTCTTATAGGAACTGGCAGAAGAACTATGCCTACTGCTGAAACTACTCTTCACAGAATCTCTGAACCAAGGGGTAATTTCCCTAGATTGGAAATACTGTATAGAAATGTCACCCCCTAGATTTAAAAAGGCAGAAAGAGCTCAGCAGAAAACTATAGACCAATTAATAGGACATCACACATCTGCAAGCTCATGGAGAGAATCCTCAGGGAGGGCATCATTCACCATCTTTCAGTGAACAACCTTCTACAATTGACACAACATGGTCTTCTTAAAAACAGATCCTGCCTTACAAACTTGCTCACATTTTTGGAAACAGTAACCAGCTATTCAGACAAAGGCTTCCAGTGGATGGAGTATACATGGATTTTGCTTAAGCTTTTGATAAGGTATCACATGAAAGACTGGCATGGAAATTACAGGCCCATGGAATAAATGGTAAAATATTAGAAGGGATAAAACAATGGTTGAAGGAAAGAAAACAAGGGGTCAAACTAAATGGAAACAAATCTGAATGGAGAAATGTGATAAGTGGGCTGCCACTAGGGTCCATTTTGGGACCAATCGGTCTTGAAGCCCCCATGGGTATGAGTCATCACAGTGTACTGTTGTTTGAATATCTGGTCGAAAAACAGTTAATGTACTCAAGGAAGGGACCAGAAAGCAAGAGGCCGGCATTCGGGAAGGGAGACTATGAGGATTTGATTGTTGCCACCGGATTCGACTAGTTTATTGTGCACCCCATACTCATCCTGTGAGCAGTAATGCAAAAAGCATTACAGAGGGCACAAAAGGTCTTTATCAGACCTCATCTTAGATTATTACATAAACAATATCATCTATCATTCACACCATATAGTTACAATGTCAGCTCATTACAGAGAAAGTGGACTATGAGATGAAAAAATTCCTAACTGAAATAGCTTGGGAAACAGAGCTTAGAGGAAAGACGGTTCAAGACATGATGGACTACATCACACGGAAGTGTAAGGAGGCAACAGACAAGTTTGTCCCAGTCCAAAATGAAAAAAATGAAATGCAGATGAGAAACCCATGGTTTAATCAGAGTTGTAAGCTAGCAAAGCAACTAAGTAAAAGGGTGTGGAAAAACTATAGAAACCACAGAACACTAGAGAGCAGAGAAAGATACTAGAGCGCCAGGAATGAATACGTCAGGATGAGAAGAGAGGTAGAGAGGCAATATGAAAATGACAAAGCGAGCAAGGCAAAGACTCAACTCAAACTGCTACATAGCCACATCAGGAGGAAAACAACAGTGATGGAACAGGTAATGAAACTGAGGATAGGGGCAGAAAGATTCACTACAAAAGACAAGGAAGTGTGCAAGGAACTCAATAAGAAATTCCAGGAGGTTTTCACCTCAGAGCAAGAAGTCCCAGAGATAAGAGAGGGAATATCAAACCAGATACCATTAGAGGAGTTTGTGATTATCAGTGGGAAGGTGAGGAAGTATCTGCTAGATTTGGACGTGACAAAGGCTATAGGCCCGGATGGAATCTTACCATGGATTCTAAAGGAAGGAGCAGAAGCTCTGTGCCTCCCACTCTCCATAGTGTACAACAAATCACTAGTAGCAGGTGAACTGCCAAAAATTTGGAAGATGGCCAATGTAGTCCCAATATACAAGAAGGGTGATAGGCAGGAGGCCTGAACTACAGGCCAGTGTCCCTAACTTGCATTCCATGCAAGATGATGGAGAAGATTGTGCAAATAAAGCTAGTGGAACATCTGGAGCAGAGGAACTTTGTAGATGATAGATGATTGTCATGCCCTTCAAGATGACCTGGACAAAATAAGTATATGGAGCACCACTTGGCAAATGGAATTTAATGTTAATAAATGCCATGTTATGGAATGTGGAATAGGAGAACATAGACCTCACACAACCTATATATTATGTGAGAAATCTTTAAAGAATTCTGATAAAGAAAGAGATCTAGGGGTGGTTCTAGATAGAAAACTATCACCTGAGGACCACATAAAGAATATTGTGCGAGGAGCCTATGCCACGCTTTCTAACTTCAGAATTGCTTTTAAATACATGGATGGTGATATACAAAAGAAATTGTTCACGACTTTTGTTAGGCCAAAGCTAGAATATGCAGTGGTTGTGTGGTGCCCATATCTTAAGAAGCACATCAACAAACTGGAAAAGGTGCAAAGACATGCTACTAAGTGGCTCCCAGAACTAAAGGGCAAGAGCTATGAGGAGAGATTAGAGGCATTAAATATGCCAAAACTAGAAGACAGAAGAAAAAGAGGTGATATGATCACTACATACAAAATAGTAACAGGAATTAATAAAATCGATAAGGAAGATTTCCTGAGACCTGGAACTTTAAGAACAAGAGGTCATAGATTTAAACTAGCTAAACACAGATGCCGAAGACATATAAGAAAATTCACTTTCGCAAACAGAGTGGTAGACGGTTGGAACAAGTTAGGTGAGAAGGTGGTGGAGGCCAAGACCGTCAGTAGTTTCAAAGCGTTATATGACAAAGAGTGCTGGGAAGACGGGACACCACAAGCGTAGCTCTCATCCTGTAACTACACTTAGGTAATTACACTTAGGTAATTACACACACACACACACACAGCGTTATATGACAAAGAGTGCTGGGAAGACGGGACACCACGAGCGTAGCTCTCATCCTGTAACTACACTTAGGTAATTACACTTAGGTAATTACACACACACACACACTAAATGGGTAGAACACCTGGAGAGAAATGATATAATATCAACATGTTAAACAACCTACGAGGATGAGGGAAGGGGACGTCCCCTCCATGCTAGATTTGATATTTACCAAGGAGGAAGAAATATTTGACATTCAGTACCTTCCTCCCTTGGGTAAAAGTGACCATGTCTTTTTGGGAATAAAGTATGCAATGCGTTATAATCTGGAAGAAAATATGACGGTCGATGCAAATGAAAAACCTGACTTTAGGAGAGGACATTATGGCAACCTTAGAAAAATTTTTAGTGAGTATAATTGGACAGACTTGTTGCTAGGCAAGGAAGTGAATGAGATGTATGTCAGGTTTTGTGAAATATATGATAAAGGCACAAAAAAATTTATACCAAAACAGAGAAGCAGAACTAGGAAACAGGATTGGTTCAACAGAAAGTGTGAGAGGGCCAGAGACCAAAAGACACAAAAATGGAATCAATACAGGAAGAGGCCGAACCCCCAAACATACCAGCGATACAAAGATGCGAGAAACAACTACACGGCAGTGATGAGAGAGGCAGAAAGAAATTTTGAAAAAGGGATTGCAGACAAATGCAAAACAGAACCAGATCTGTTCTATAAATTCATAAACAACAAATTGCAGGTAAAGGATAATATTCAGAGGTTGAAAATGGGAAATAGATTCACGGAAAATAAAAAGGAAATGTGTGAAACATTAAACGAAAAGTTCCAAAGTGTGTTTGTACAAAATGAAATCTTCAGGGAACCAGATACAATAAGAATTCCAGAGAACAACATAGAGCACATAGAGGTGTCCAGAGATGAAGTGGAAAAAATGCTCAAGGAGCTAAATAAGAACAAAGCAGTTGGTCCAGATGGAGTTTCACCATGGGTTCTGAGAGAATGTGCACCTGAGCTCAGCATTCCTCTTCAACTGATTTTTCAGGCATCCCTATATACAGGAGTTGTAGCTGATGTGTGGAAAAAGGCTAACATAGTTCCAATCTACAAAAGTGGAAGCAGGGAAGACCCCTTAATTATAGACCGGTATCATTGACAAGTGTAATAGTCAAAACATTGGAAAAAATAATTAAAACTAAATGGGTAGAACACCTGGAGAGTGTTTTACAGTCTCCATGGTGTAGTGGTAAGACACTCGCCTGGCGTTCCGCGAGCGCTATGTCATGGGTTTGTATCCTGGCCGGGGAGGATTTACTGGGAGCAATTCCTTAACTGGTGCCTCTGTTTAACGCAACAGTAAAATGTGTACTTGGATGAAAAAACGACTCTTCGCGGCAGGGGATCACATTCCAGGGACCTGCCCGAAACGCTACGCATACTAGTGGCTGTACAAGAATGTAACAACTCTTGTATATATCTCAAAAAAAAAAAAAAAAAAATATCAGACAGACAGTATGGTTTTCGATCTGGAAGATCCTGTGTATCTAATTTACTCAGTTTCTATGATCGAGCAACAGAGATATTACAGGAAAGAGATGGTTGGGTTGACTGCATCTATCTGGACCGAAAAAAGGCTTTCGACAGAGTTCCACATAAGAGGTTGTTCTGGAAACTGGAAAATATTGAAGGAGTGACAGGTACGCTTCTAACATGGATGAAAAATTTTCTGACTGATAGAAAAATGAGGGCTGTGATCAGAGGCAATGTATCGGACTGGAGAAATGTCACAAGTGGAGTACCACAGGGTTCAGTTCTTGCACCAGTGATGTTTATTGTCTACATAAATGATCTACCAGTTGGTATACAGAATTATATGAACATGTTTGCTGATGATGCTAAGATAATAGGAAGGATAAGAAACTTAGATGATTGTCATGCCCTTCAAGAAGACCTGGACAAAATAAGTACATAGAGCGCCACTTGGCAAATGGAATTTAATGTGAATAAATGCCATGTTATGGAATGTGGAATTGGAGAACATAGACCCCACACAACCTATAAATTATGTGAGAAATCTTTAAAGAATTCTGATAAAGAAAAGGATCTAGGGGTGGTTTTAGATAGAAAAATGTCACCTGAGGACCACATTAAGAACATTGTGCGAGGAGCCTATGCTACACTTTCTAACCTTAGAATTGCTTTTAAATACATGGATGGAGAAATACTAAAGAAATTGTTCCCGACTTTTATTAGACCAAAGCTGGAATATGCAGCGGCTGTATGGTGCCCATATCTTAAGAAGCACATCAACAAACTGGAAAAGGTGCAACGACATGCCACTAAGTGGCTCCCAGAACTGAAGGACAAGAGCTACGTGGAGAGATTAGAGGCATTAAATATGCAAAAACTAGAAGATAGAAGTAAAAGAGGCGATATGATCACTACGTTCAAAATAGTAACAGGAATAGATAATATTGATAGGGAAGAATTCCTGAGACTCGGAACTTCAAGAACAAGAGGTCATAGATTTAAACTAACGAAACAAAGCTGCCGGAGAAATATACGAAAATTCACTTTTGTAAACAGAGTGGTAGACGGTTGGAACAAGTTAAGTGTGAAGGTGGTGGAGGCCAAAACCGTCAGTAATTTCTAAGCATTATATGACAAAGAGTGCTGGGGAGACGGGACACCACGAGCGTAGCTCTCATCCTGTAACTACACTTAGGTAATTACACTTAAGTAATTACAGTGCTGGGAAGACGGGACACCACGAGCGTAGCTCTCATCCTGTAACTACACTTTGGTAATTACAGGGTACTTCCACTTATTCTCCGTTCTCAGAGACAGGTCGTAATTCAACAGGTCGTAAAATGTCATAACTCTGAACTAATTTTCCCATAAGAAATAATGTAAATTGAATTAATCTGTTCCACACACCCGAAAAATATTAACTTAAAAATGCATTTTATACCGAATACCACTCTTTTTGTACTAGCTACAATACAGTATGTATATCTTACCTTTATTGAGGACCTTTACTGAGGACTCTTGTTAGCATTTGGAAGACAGTGAAGAGGGGGGAGGGGAAAGAGAAGAAGTGTTACTGTTTTAAAGCGGAGTCCCTTTCCATTATAACATCAGGAAGTGATGATTTCTCTGAGGTACTCTCTCTCCTACGTTTTGCTGGCATACCACTGGGATCTGGTTGTGGCTAATTATAATTTCTGAAGACCATGAGCATCCCACTGAATGTCGGCCATCTTCCCTGGTTACCTGCCACCCACCAAGTGAATCACTGGCAAGCTTCTCTGTCCAACTACTACTAGCATTCCAATAATGTTTCTTTTCAAATCATATCCTCAATTTATATATTTATTTCTCTCATTGAGGTCCAAACTGGTTTCCTACATTTAACACTGATTTAAACACATATTTTCAATCCCTGAATGTACTTGAGACAATTTATTTCTTATATTGATGTTTATATTCTTTTAGAGGAGAACATCCTCACATTGTGACCATGTATTGCACATGTGCAGGACTAGCCACTGCACTTGTGGAAATTCCAAATATCTTTCCCTTACAAATCCACACAGTTGAGTTTTCAACACTAACACATTCTTCCAAAAATTACCCCTTCCTTACATTACATATTTACAGGTTAATTAGCCAGTGCAAAATATAGTAGATTTCAGGCATGTTTCTGTAATGTTTAAGTAAAATTAGAAAAATTGCCTTAAAATTATCTCTTCATTACATGATATTTTATTGATTCAGCTATGCATACTTGCACTGTGTTATATTTTGATACAATTTATTAAATAATCTACATATATTATTTGCGATACTGCATAAGCCTGACTTCTTTGGTGAACCCCCTACAGCCACTTGATGAGCATGTACTGGCGGCCATTGCTCGAGGAGCAAGATGGCTGCAGGAAAATCTCTCTTTGGTAGGACAAGCCTCACGTCCATTGGAGGTGTCCTTGGTAGCACTATCACTCCATCTTTCTGAATCTGCCCAAGCTGACAAGGCCTTTGAGTTTGTCACACGTAATGCTCGCCAGGAAGGTGAGTTATGGGTAGTCTGATGGTTGTGTGAAATGTGTGTATGTGATACTGTACTAGGTGGTGTGTGGAACTTGGTTAATCTCTGCATCTTCAGTACTTAATGCAATGTAGTTTAGACTTCGATCTTTATTTAATCCTTAATTGGCTTGGCTAATTAAAAGTTTTACATCATGGTGTGCATGACAATTTGAGTACAGAAGGTGATCACATATAGCGATTGGAGCCATTTAAGGGCAAGTCAAGTACATGCCTCCCTGCAAAATTGTTATCCCTTTACATTTCATTCTATGCAATAAGTCAGTATTATACTGTAAATTGCATTTGGGTTGTATATAAATTTCCCTAATGTCTTATATGCCATTATCAAGATATTTCTGAACTACTTCTACTCTAGGCTTCTCAATTACAATTGCTTATTTAATGGTATTTTTCTCGTGGTAACAGTGAAGTATGTTTACTGGGGCGAAGACCTGGTGCCATTGCCTTCCTACCGCGTTGAGTCTCAGCGTCCACACTTACAGCCACGTCTTGCCCACCGCCACGATTCAGGCAATGTAGCAGCAACTGCTTATGCGCTTAGGCTCTACTCCCTCAGAGGGGAGATCATGGCACCGAGTATTGTTAGGTGGTTACAGTCTCAGCGCTGCCACGATGGTGGCTGGATGTCAACACAGGTAAGGTTTTTATGAATGTACTGTAATAATAATAATAATAATAATAGGATCAGTAATAACATAACCAGTGTTGAATGTAATTAAACGCCATTTTCTGGGTGAGATCTGGAGGCTCCCTGGAGATATACCTGGCTGATGTGAATATATTAAACCATGGCAACAGTCAAGCGATCGAGTTCTTGGCCTACCGGGGACCATGAGCCAGAACCTGGCCCCCTCAGAGAGGCACAAGGAGCAATGGCCTATAGACACCCCCATGTAGTTGGAAGCAGTCAATGTCAGCCATCTACCAGGTCAGGCACCCAGAAAGGTAGGAATCCTAAAACAAACAACAGTAGGTTAAAAATTACAAACCTAAAGCTGAACGACCAGGCACAACTCTCCCATCAGAAAACAAGCAAACAAGCATGACATCACCACAGCCAACATGCCACTGTCTGCGCTGCTCCCCCCTCCCTGGGAGGGGAAAGGGGGAGCCCTAGACCTCCCACGCTGGCTACCCAACCCCAGTTAAGAGGTTGAATATCAAAAACGTGAAAAAACGCCGACTGGAGGGAGGGAGGGGGGGAGGGAGGGAGGGATGCCAGGGAGCCTCTGGGTCTCACTCGAAAAATGGCATTTCATTACATTCAATGCTGGTTTTCTATGGAGAGCCCCTTCAACTTCCCAGACCTACCTAATATAAAATAAAGGAAAACAGGGAGAAAACATGTCCACTCGCTCCTCAACTCGAAGTCGAGGCAACTGGCTGCAACCTGTGACCTAAGGCTACACAAGCCCGAGAAGTGCCAGGAATATTAGCGAGGTACCGTGCTGCCAGGAACCTGCTCTACCTCCAAAAACCCAGTGCCCGAATGTCAGCCCAGGACATATTACCAAAACACAGCAGCCAAAGCTGCAAACCTGTGAAAGTCTTGGGCACGAGGTTCTTTGGTTTTATGACCCATGTTCACTAGGCCGGCCTGGGGCGGTGGGTTCTGTCCTTCCGTTGGGCTTACAGTGCAGTGCGGGAGTTTGCGGTGGTCTGACTTTCGCTGCGGGGGGGTTCAGGTCTCTCGGGACTCTATGATCAGGTTACCTTCAGACTGTGCTCTGGTGGTTCATTGTCTGAACTGCGGGGGCTCCCTTTGGGGCTGGTCTCTTCGAATGACTCGTGGTCTGGTTTCTCTGGGCTTAGCTTTTCGTGCAGTTTCCATCTGAGGTGTGTCCAACGTCCTCCTGGTGGGCGGTCTGTCCCGGTTTCTTCCCATGTCCACAGAATGGATGGTCAATGCTGATGCCTTAAGTTGGTTCTGCCGGTCACACGAACCCCCGAAGGTGGAACTCTTCACGTTGACATGGTTCCGGCATCTCCCGAGATATGCGGTACCCCCATCCCTGACTATAGAGCCATCACATTGGACACTCTTTGGCAGGACTGGTCAAGGTGGGGTTCCCTGTACTGTACAGGGAACTAAAGTTAAAGTTAAAAATAAAATAAAGTTTATTTCTAATTCCCTGGTCCAGCTGTTGCTTTGGGTTCTGGCTTGGTTGGATTCTTATTGTGGGAGAGTCATCCTTGTAGCCCCGTGGTGGCCAGCCCAACCTTGGTTTCAGGCACTGCTTGCTTGGTGTCCAAACCCAGGGCACTGGCAGAGCCGCTCTAGCTTGCATTCCGTAAGCTTTCTCGTGCTTTGTTTCATCTCCGGCCTGCTCATGCGACCTTAGCTGTCCTGGTCCTTGGACAGAATGTTCTCATTTCTCTCCTCTCAATTTTTGGTCGCCCATTTGGTTTGAGAGTGCTTCCAGAAGCCTCTGTTTCTGTTGGCATTGGCCTCTGGGGTTGGATCAGTGAGCTTCATGCTCTCCTCTGGTGCAGAGGTTACTACTCTTTTGGTCCAGTGGACATTTTGTTCAGTTGCAGCTGTCTCCTTTTCTGGCAAAGAACGAGATGGCGGGCTTCCGGAGGGGTTCATGGGTTATTGATGCTTGGTTAGTCAGGCTGGGGGTGCATCATGTGTTGTGTCTGGTTGCGACTCTGCACTGTTACCTGCATGCCTCGACCTCTGTAGCTGTGGATGCTCTTTGTGTTGATGTGATTTTCTTTCCCTTTTCTAGGGTTCGGGTCTCTCAGATCATCTGAAGCATTATTAAGTCTAGACAGCCTGCAGTCTTCCCTCGTGCTCATGACGTTCATAGGTATGCTGCTTTGACTGTAGTGTTTGGCAACATATCCTGGGCTGACGTTCAGGCACAGGGGTTTTGGAGGTCGTACAGGATCCTGACTGCCCGTTATTTAGTAAATGTTCCTTGTCCCAGTCATGCGTGTGTGGCTTTGGGTTGCAGTTTGCAGCCAGTTGTCTTGTCTTTGAATTGATCCATGCGAAGCGGCTGCCTCCCGAGTAAATCCCTCTTTCTACTTATCTCTGGTTATGTAGCTCCAGGGAGCCAAAGGGGCTCCTCACAGAAAACCCAGCTTTGAATGTAATGAAATGCCATTTTCTGGGTGAACCCCCAGAGGCTCCCTAGTACCCTCCCTCCCTCTGGTCGGCGGTTTTATTTTTAATGCTCAGCCTCCGAACTGAGGTGGGAGTAGCATGCACGTAGGTCCAGGGCTCCCCCTCCTGGGAAGGGGAGCGCTGCGCGGACAGGAGGCGTGGCGGCGGTGAATGATGTTTGCTTGTTTGCATGTTTCCTTTGTTTTCCTTTGGGAAGTTTTGTTTCTCTGTTCGGTCTTGGGTTGTTTGCAATTTCCTACCATGTGGGGTTTATTTTGAGATGCCTACCTTTCTGGGTGCCTAACCCCGATCGATGGCAGACAAGGAATTCCCCCAAATACAAGGGGGGGTCTCCTTAGGCCATTGCTCCCTGTGCCTTTCTCGGGGCCAGGTTCCGGCTCTGGTACCCGGTAGGCAGAACTCCATTGACTGAAGCCCCAGACTAATATAGCGCATGTCAGTCTTATAACTCCAGGCAGCCTCCGGGGCTCACCCAGAAAATGGCATTTCATTACATTCAATAATGTTTGTTTTTTCTTTACATGCAACTTCATTTAATTCATGAATTTTATTTCTAATGCCCATACTACTTGTGTAGCACATCTTTTGGGTGTGATGTTTAAGCCTATGCCCCTTTCTCTTATTGCTGACTTCTCATGAATTTTCTTTAAAAGTTCAACAATTTTTTGTATTATACCACCCCCCCCATAACTTTAAATCTTTTTCCAAGCATGACAATCATAAATTAAACGTTGTGCCTTTTAGTTTGTTTTGAGATCGAATTATGCTATGTTTTTCTTGTTCAGGACACACTGGCAGCATGGGAAGCACTATATGAGTTTTCTCAGCGTGAGGGCCGAGCTCGTGACACCCAGCTTACTGTGACAGTGGAGCCTCTTCGTGACCACACACAGGCAAGAACTTTCTATATCACCCCAGACAACTTTCTACACCTCCAGACACATCAGGTGAGAATACACTTTTGAAGTCTGAGGCATTCTCTGTAAGGTTCTCAAAGTGCAATGATATGTTTTATTTCTCAAAATTCTAGCTCTGACCCTGTAAGTGTCTTTCTTATACCTTTCAACAAGACATTCACCTATTCCCCATTGTTGCCACCAATGAGGATCGTTGCCACCATTCTTGTAAAGCCACTAACATGCAGTGTGTGTGACAATAAATGTGATTTGATTATATAGTAGAGTGGTAGGTTCAGCTTTCAAAATACTGTACTGTAATTACTGTGTATCATTTAGGTACTGTATTTGCTGGCATATAAGATGCATGTTTTTTATTTTTAACCCTCAAACTGCTAAGGGCTTTTTAATGTACCGGACTACAAGAGACTCAACTTCAGCACCCACATACAACACATAACCAAGAAAGTCTCAAAAACGGTTGGTATACTCTCTAAAATCAGATATTATGTTCCAAACTCTGCTCTCCTCTCGCTATACTATGCGCTAATCTATCCTTATCTTACATATGATATCTGTGCGTGGGGCTCAACATCTGCAAACTACCTCAAGCCCATCATCACCCAGCAAAAATCTGTTATCAGAATAATAACAAACTCGGGTTTCAGACAACACTCAGCCCCCTGTTTAAATCCCTTCTTAAATACAAACCCTGTTCTGAAACTCTTCTTGGACAGATGTAATAGAACACATAACCACCACACCAAAAATAAATATCTCTTTGATATCCCCAGAGTCAAATTTAATCTGTGTAAACACTCTATGCAAATAAAGGGACCTGGTCTATGGAACTCCCTCCTTAACAAATTGAAAAACTGTCAAACTTTTGCCTTATTCAAAAATAAAACCAAAAAATACCTAATTTCATCTTCATAATTCATAATTTTCTACCTAGTGCTTGAAACTCTCACTGTATCTAGTGCTACCCAACTCCCAAAAATATGTACCTATGCCACACAACTTTACCATTGTAATCATTGCTGTTATCTTATATCATTTTATACCCATAGTTTGCTACATTATAGTTCATTTGTAGTTTGTAGCAAATAGTTTGTAGCAAATTTGCTACATTTGCTACATATATCATGTTATACACATAGTTTGCTACATCATACCGTGCAATAATCCTCAAATTATGCTAAAATATACCTGTGGATAACCCTTAAATTTACTTTAATGTACCTTCTGTCAAATTTCTTATACAATGTATTTCCTGTGGGGAGCCCCTATGGTTCCCTGGAGCTTATCGAGCTAATGTATTTTATATTAGACCTGGACATTAGCTATGGAGTTTGGACCTATCAGGGACCACAAGCCAGAACCTGACCCCTTCGTAGAGGTTTCAGGGAGCAATGACCCCTGGAAAACCTCCCCCTGTGGTTGGGGGTTTTCCTTATCTGCCATCGACCAGGGTTAGGCACCCAGAAAAGTAGGCATAACAAAACAAACCCCACATGGTAAGAAACTAACAACAAAAACTGAACAGAGAGGTAGAACTCCCTTCAATCCCAAGGATACAAGCAAACAAGCAACTGTCACACTCTGCTGCCGTGCAGCCCTCCCCTTCCCGAGAAGGGGGGGGCGCCCGGACCTCACCACAGAGGCAATGTATCGGACTGCAGAAATGTCACAAGTGGAGTACCACAGGGTTCAGTTCTTGCACCAGTGATGTTTATTGTCTATATAAATGAGCTACCAGTTGGTATACAGAATTATATGAACATGTTTGCCGATGATGCTAAGATAATAGGAAGGATAAGAAACTTAGATGATTGTCATGCCCTTCAAGATAACCTGTACAAAATAAGTATATGGAGTACCACTTGGCAAATGGAATTTAATGTTAATAAATGCAACGTTATGGAATGTGGAATAGGAGAACATAGACCCCACGCAACCTATATATTATGTGAGAAATCTTTAAAGAATTCTGATAAAGAAAGAGATCTAGGGGTGGTTCTAGATAGAAAACTATCACCTGAGGACCACGCAAAGAACATTGTGCAAGGAGCCTATGCCACGCTTTCTAACTTCAGAATTACTTTTAAATACATGGATGGCGATATACTAAAGAAATTGTTCACAACTTTTGTTAGGCCAAAGCTAGAATATGCAGCGGTTGTGTGGTGCCCATATCTTAAAAAGCACATCAGCAAACTGGAAAAGGTGCAAAGACATGCTACTAAGTGGCTCCCAGAACTGAAGGGCAAGAGCTACGAGGAGAGATTAGAGGCATTAAATATGCCAAAACTACAAGACAGAAGAAAAAGAGGTGATATCATCACTACGTACAAAATAGTAACAGGAATTGATAAAATTGATAGGGAAGATTTCTTGAGACCTGGAACTTCAAGAACAAGAGGTCATAGATTTAAACTAGCTAAGTACAGATGCCGAAGAAATATAAGAAAATTCACTTTCGCAAACAGTGGTAGATGGTTGGAACAAGTTAGGTGAGAAGGTGGTGGAGGCCAAGACCGTCAGTAGTTTCAAAGCGTTATATGACAAAGAGTGTTGGGAAAACGGGACACCACGAGCGTAGCTCTCATCCTGTAACTACACTTAGGTAATTACACTTAGGTAATTACCGGCTGCATAGCATTCCAGTTTGTAAGCTAATGTCAACCGGGACAGATGCTTCTCTGGCCTCGATTTCTTAGGTGGTGTTTGCCTGCGTGTTGCTCACTGCTGTGTTATTGTGTTGTGTGGTGGCCAGGTGTCTTTCTTCAGTACCAGGGCTGCATGCACTTAGGGGCTTCCTTATCTGAGCGCCCTGTGAGTACTGCCCCTGCATGTCAGGGTTATCTTCCCTGGGGCGTTCGGGACCCATTCTCATAGGAGTTCTTGCTGCTCGGCAGTTGCCTTGCCCTTGGAGCTAGCTGGGGCTTAGGGGCCTTGTTTGGCCTTGGGTAGGGACTGGTATCATGCTGGTTGGGGCGTCAAGGTGTTGCGCGGCCTGCCACCTACGCGGCGATCGGTTCCTGTTGCTTCTAGGGACAGTGTGCTTTTGTGGAGTTTTTCTTTTCTTTTTGTTTTCATTTGCCTGGGGGGGGGGGGGGGTGCCTAGTGTTGCTATAGTTCCACTGGTATTGTTTGGTGGCCCTCTGCTAGGCCCCCATGACTGTACATGTCGCAGGGGTTTACAGTGTTAGACTCTACCCCTTGTTAGATTTGGGTGTTAACTGGTTAGCGACACCTTGCCCGAGCTTCCCATAGTCGTCACCCTATGGGCCCCTGGAAAACCCTGTTGGGGCTCGATGGACCAGTGGATGCATCTTCCGGGTTCCAACCCGTCTTGTGCTGGTTCGTTGGTTGCTGTACCCTTGTCTCAGGGTGACAGTTGCCTCTTTTGCCTCTGTCGTGCTGCCTGTTGGGTCACTGACACCTTGACCCTGGAGTCTTGCGAGTTGGGTTCTCTGCTTGTTCTTCTCTTGTTCAGTACTATTCTGATATCATTACTGTTAGAGTACAGGCGGCATCTACGTTGCAAGCATAGTTTAGGCTGCTGCAATGCGCTAGATTGGTTTCCCACCCAGATGCCCCGGGACTGCCCTGTTTGGGTTAGGTGTTGTTCGCCCCTTCCCTCTCCCTGTTCCCGGCTCCGGACTGTCTGCGTGTTTTGAGGTCGAGGCGGGGTTTAGTTGGTGCCGAGACTTGGGCGGCTTCGGGGGCTGCCCCGTTCGGGTTGGGGACGGAGGTTTTCGAGCCTGCTCCTCCTGCCGAGGCTTCTGGGTCTTACCAGCGGCTCTTTCTTTGCTGCCTTTCCCATGGACTCTTTCTTTTCTTTAAGGGCAGAGGGTGTGGAGGACGGCTCTGCCCTGGGGCTTATGTTGTGGGTTCCTGGGACTGTGGGGGGGTGCCTGCTAGCAGTTCTGGGGTTGTTTGCCCCCTGCCTGGGGTTTCTGCTTTTTGAGCGGGGTTTTTTGTCCCTCGTTTGCTTATTTCCCACATTTGCTGGCCTGTTTTCTGATCTCTTGCATCGGTCACGTCTCCTTTGTTATGGTGGCCATTTTCTTCTGCGAGTTGATTCCCCGCCTGGCTACCGGGGCGGCGCTGCAGTTTGTTTACCTGTACCTGGGTGTGCCAGCTCGCGTTTTTGGGGATTTTTTTTACCTCCTTTGGGGTTTTATCATCCTGTTGCTATTTCTTTGCTTTTTCTAAGGCGTTCTGCTCTTCTTCCGTTCCTCTAAATATACTTGGGGTGTTGGTTTTTACCCCGGTTTTACGTTTTCTGTCTGTTTGGGTTTGGGCCCAGTGTCTCTGTCAGTTTATGCTTGCTCCCACACCTTGTGTCTCTCGGTTTTTGGTCCTTTTTGGCCATTTCACTGGGGGTTCTGTCTGGGTGCTGTGCTTTGCCCTTTCTGTGGTGCATTTCCGCCGGCAAATGTGGTGATTTGGGCTCCCCCAGGTTCGATTCCGGGTCCCTTTGGGTTCTTTGGTTTCGTTCCGGAGATTTCTTCCTCTTGGGCCCTCTTGAGGCTTCCTCTTCAGGGTTCAGGAGGCCTTTGGTTACCTCGTGTGTGACCCAGTTCTGCCTTCTGGGATTCTGAGGTCTTCCAGGCTTGCAGACTGCTCTTTCTGGGTCTTGGCATGTGTTGTGATCGTGCTGGGGCCTTGGTTTTTGTTGTCGAAGTGGGCCTTTTCATGCGGCTTTTGTGCTCTCTCAGTGCCTTCTTAGTCTGGCCGGCACGGTGCTCTGCCCGCCAGTCAGCTGCTTGTCTTTCTATTTATTTTCATTTTCATTTATATTAAAATTTTTCTTTTGGAAGGGGCTCCGATCCCTTTGCTGTTGATGGGGCGATAGGGAGGTGGGAAGGCGGCTTGCTCTTTTGACTCGCGCTTGGTCTCGCAGTTCGTGGGTGTTTTTGGTTGTCTTCTGACCTCTGGTGGCATCGGGCGGCGCCTCGTTTTGGAGGGTTCGGGGCTGGTGGGGCAGGCTTCTTCCCCTGTGCTTCGTCATATCATTTTGGAGTGGGTGCACTTGGACATGG